AGAGCTGAATAAGGTTTAATTTTAATTGTTCATGTTTGTTTTGGTTTAATGGATTTAATGATTTCAATGAATTTATTTATTACATAGAACATGTAAGCCATGTAACTTAATTGAAAAGCAGAAAATGTGATCATGGGCCCGAGCTGGGCCCACACATCAGACATGATCTTTTTGTTAGAGCAATGGCAGCATTTGATCTGGTGGTAGATTTAACTTCATCCACATTACGGTCAGATCATGCCCTTGAAACTCTCTTATGCCACCCCTCGGAGACCAGATCCATTCAAGTAGTCCGTCCTTGAGACTTATGAACTCAAATGGGTTCCAGAGAGAACTGGGGGATATCCCAGGGGTTTTGCTATATGGCCCTGTCAAAGCCATGGTAACCACCGGGAATCAAAATGTGGCTGGGGCTTTGGACGGGTTTGTGCCTCTGTGGCCTTTCTTGACCCATCACTCCCAATACTCTCTGTGGTTCACAGAGGAGTTATGGGATCTGAAGGTTAAGAGAAGCCTTGAGCGTCAATGGAAAAAAATGAGGGATGACTATGACAGGACATGGCTTAGGCACTATTAAGGCCTACCTCATGCCGATAAGAGTAGTGAAACAACATTATTTCTCCACCTTTATTGCACCTGTAGAGTGACTAGCAACTAGGAGACTTTTTGCACAACTTCATGTTGTGCACTAATTGCAGCCTTTCCTGGATCAGTATTCCCTATGCTCAATCACTCAAGCCCTGGTCATCTCAAGTATGAACTAGTGCAATGTGCTCTACATGGTGCTAACCTTATAGAGCATTTGGAAACTACAACTGGTGCATAGTGCCTTGATGCAGGCAGCCTTGGGGCCCTTAGAATGGCCCATATTACACCACATTACATCACTGTTCTGCACGGACTACTTCTGGATGCAGTTCAAAATGTTAGTTATTACCTATAAAGCCATGCATCTCATGGGTCCAGGCTACCTGAGAAACCGTGTCATCTCAACGGGATCTGCCCACCCAGCCATACCAGCAGAGGAGGCATCAGGAATTTTGGTTAGTGGGGTCCAGGACAAGAGCTTTCTCTGCTGTGGTTCCTGCCTTTTGCAACATCTTGCCCCGAGGTGAAATCTGTTCCTTTTCTCCTGACCTTAAGGGCCTGAAAACGTGTCCCTGACAGTTGTCTTGGAGCCCAATGGAGGAGTGCTTGCTGGAAGTGGTTGATGGACTAATAGTAGATCCTATCTCACCCTCTGCATGCTCCCTCCCTCCCCATCTTTTTACCATAATTTATAATTTTTAACTATAACACACACACACACACACACACACACACACACACACACACACACACATCTTTATAGTTTTATTTGCTTTTAACCTTGTAAGTTGCCCAGAGTCACCTTGTGGCGAGATGGGCAACAAATAAATTTAATTATCCCTAATATTTCCTGCACGTTTACTAAAGGTAAAAAAGTAGAAATCTCAGGTTTAAAGAATATGCAAATGAAAAACATAATGCTCAGCAAATTTAAGATGAAAGTATAAAATACTCCCCATGGTAAAAAAATACTGCAAAAAATGCAAAATCCCATACATTTAATCATTACTTTGTTAACAAGCACAGTAAAGGCTACATTAGGAATTTTTTGGGATAATTTCAGGATTCTATTGCCACAATGGCCACTGGAAAATTCATGAAAAGACATGAATAAAGAGCATCTTTTCACTCAAAGTACTCATCGATATTAGCAGATGGTAATAATCAGCCATTATGACTTATAGGCATTGATTGCATAATCTTTCTTACACGGAATCCAGGCTAGTAGCCTTCACAGGATCTTTGAAGGAATCCAGGTTAGTGGCCTTCACAGGAATCTTTTGGAAATGATCAAAAACCTATTTAAACATTTAGTTTCATTGAAGACCTGAGATTTTGAAATTTTGAAAGAAAAAACTTATCTCTTTATTAGAAAGCTTCCTCACAACACATACCTTAGTGCATTTTATTTACATATATTTTATTTCACATTTATTTATATTTATATTCAAGGTGACTAATGATGTTTTAAAATAAAGACAATATAAACTAATAGATTAAAAAGCATCATGGAGCGATATTAAATCATTTATAAATTGCAGGTTTAATGAAACATCTGTTATTAGGTATTTTCTGAGAGAGCAAGAGAAAGGGAGGGGGAGGGAGGGAGGGAGGGGGAGAGAGAGAGACAGAGAAGGCTGAAAGCAGCTCTTGAGGGTCTCTCTTCTATAACTTGGGAGCAATGCAGAGCTAGAACACCATTTCTTGCATTTCAGAGAAATGTGGGCTTATGATGGTGAAGGCATTGCTGAAAAGTCTGTCCTGCAGATATAGAATCAGCTGAGAAACAACTTAAATTGTGCTTGGTAACTGGTAAATTACTGGTGATCTTTTAATACAAACTTCATATGATTCCTGTACCTTCTCTCAAGTAGGATCTTAGCTGTTACAACATGTATCAATTACAACTTGCACACATTTTTCAAAAGTAGCTCTACAACACAGGTCGGCAACCTGCGGCTCCGGAGCCGCATGCGGCTCTTTGAGCCTCCCCCTGTGGCTCCCAGCCTCCTCTGCCTTTGCAGAGAGAGACAGAGACAGAGAGAGGCAATTGCGCTTCCCTGCTTCTCTCTCTGTCTCTCTCTGTCTCTGTCTCTCTCTCTCTCTCTCTCTGTGTGTGTGTGTGTGTGTGTTCTCTGAGGAGCTGCAAAGCTTTCTGGGCGGAGCTCCTCCCTTTGCTGCGTCTCTGAAGGAAGCAGGAAGGGCAGGAGAGAGCTAACTAGCCCAGCTAGGCTGACTCAGGAATTCTGGGAGTTGAAGTCCATGAGTCATAAAAGAGACGAGGCTGCCTACCCCGGAGGTTGTTGGACAACAGCTTGAAGCTTGCCAGGTGAGCAGCAGATAGGAGGGGGGGGGGAGAAAGAGAGAGAGAGAGACTGGGGGAAGAGGAGTGGCAGACCAAGGGCAGATAGAGAGGGGGGGAGAGAGAGACCCTTTTGACATCTAAAATGAAGATAACACTGCATATATCCTTTTTTTTACCTTTGTGTGTATGTAATTTTATTCTCTTAAAGCATTCTCTTGGTGATCATTGTTTTAATAGTATGGATATTCCCAAGAGTCATATTTTTACTTTTATTTTTAATGTGTATATGTGTGTGTGTGTCTCTCTGTGTGTGTGTGTGTATATATATACACATACACATACACACACACACATACACATACACACACCTATAATAAAGGTAAAAAAGGATATATGCAGTGTTATCTTCATTTTAGATATCAAAAGGGTTTTACGGCTCCCAGTGTTTTGTTTTTGGTGGGAAACAGGTCCAAGTGGCTCTTTGAGTGTTTTGGGTTGCCTACCCCTGCTCTACAATAAGCAGACTGCAGTGTTCAATGAAATAGTGAAAGAGAGAAGGAGGGAAAGAATGAAAGGAAGAAGAAAGCTATACCTCTCAGTATCATTCTTAGCCTCATAAACTATTTCTAGCTCTTCTTTGTTCCACCACATTTCCTTCATATGTTTGTTTTGCAATTTTATTTTCATTCATTCCCTCATTATGACCAAATGGCCTCACTGAATTTTGTTCATATTGGTCACTCACCTTTGGATTCAGTTGACATTGATCACACCCTCATTCTTGACCCCATCTCTTATTTTTTCTCCACCTATACTTCAGTAATCCATTCTCTACTGCACTGAATTTATTTTTATATTTTTCATGTGACATATTTATCTTATATTTATATTTATTTATATATATTTTAAAATAAAGAACTATTACAAAAAGAACAAATAAAAAGGAAAAAGGGGAAAGCAAATATGATTATAAAATACAATATATGAGCTCAATTTTTAAATCCAACATTAAACATTGATCACGGGATAATATCTTATCTTAGAATAATTGAAAACACATTTTAATGCTGATATTCATTCAGAATGTTTACTATCAATATTGCATGGCTTAAAATTTCATTGATTTACATCTATAATATACCTTCTACTAAGGTACACACATTTATCTAATTACTCTAATTTACACCATTTATGCATAACTTGTCATAAATGTTTTCCCCATCAAACATAGCTATCTGGGTCTTCAATGTGTAAATTTTCAACGCCATACTCTTTGTTGCATCATACAATCTAGCTAACAATTGATGCAAGTTAGTTTTTAGCCAAAAATTTGGCATCATCTGTATACAAAGTTACAGAACATGCATGTTCGTATCCACACTGACACATCTGTGTCACAAGCATTCCTTTTACATTTACCTATAAACAACTAAAAAAAATCACACAACCTTGTTTTATTACTTGATCAGTGATGAATAATTTGCTAAATATTTCATTTTTTTCTCCCACATGCTTTATTTCTATGACTCTGAATGTATTCAGCAACCAAATTTGAACTCTGTATTAGCACAAATAGTAATTCAAGTGTATTCACTTTATGATACATTTGTCTAAATTAATAAACATTTTTTCACATTCATACATTATTTAATGAGCTGGTTGACACAATAGTTTCATGAATTCATGGGAATTGATCCAACAGCAAATACACAATACTTGGGAATCCTTGGTGCTCTCTGAGCTTTCTTCTTCTCTGAGCAAACCCCACTCTCTTCTAGTGCTGAAGATGTTATCTATCAGGTAATGAAATGTCTCCAAGCAAACAACCAAACTCAGAGAACACCAAGGACCCCTTAGTTCCACCCAGTATTCTCTTCTATTGATAACACAGTACTTTCTTGTGAATTCCTCCCCTTTTATTATTAAGTTACTAATTTCATTTTCAAGCATGTAAAGTAATTATGGTAGTATTTAATTATAGCAGCTAAAAGAGCTGAATTCTTCCCCCCCCCTCCCTTCTGCCCTTCTGATAAGCACTAATGACACGGCAATAAAACAATGAACCAATTTATTTATTTGCATCTGTCTAAACATAAAGTTAACTCACTTTCTCTTCTGGAGGTATGTGCAGCTTATAGTCTCAAAGTGTGCACATCTATATCGGGATTCTGGCCCACCCTCACTCCCTTTGCAGTTAAATAATTACATGGCTGCTAGTCGTCTCTTGGCAGGACATGCGTTTTCCTCTTTTCAGCCTCTCTCTTCAGTTTCTACAAAAACTGTGTTGGGATGTACTGTTTTATATCCAGCTGCATTTTCCTTTCTTTTCTGTGTATTATAGCAATAAAAATAAATAATAAAAAATTATGCCTGTGGCAACTTGTAATTATTTCATACTATTCTAAGCAGCTTCCATACCACAGGCCTAAAACTTATTAGAATTACTATAATAATAGAATGTTGCAAGCCTGAACGTGCTTCCTTCTTCCCTCTTTTATCTTGATGTGAATTAGGGGATGCCTGTTTTATACTATTTCATAAATATCTACCTTAATATGGGTTTAAACCACGTTTACTGTGAATTGCCTTTGTAGGGGGCCTTCCCTGTCTGTCATGGCCATCCTCTAAATTCACTATAGTACAGTACTTCAGGAGCATACTGTTATGTGCTCCTGGGGACTTTCCTTCGCAGCCAGTGGCAAACCTGCCTGACCAATAACCAGCCACGACACAGTGAAGACCGTTTGTTTCATTTATTGCAATAAGCGGGGAGAAGCTATCAAAGCTTGGTTCTCTCCAAAGTTCAACATTCCAAATCAACATCTTTATACATTCCCTACACTGGCTGCCCATCCCTCCTCGTTCCTCATTGGCTGAGGTACTATAAGTTTACATTCTCTCCCACAGCCTTCTACATATTTCCTGCTACCCTACCCAAACATACTAAATCATACATTGCATGTGTATTTAAATGAGCAGACAATGTATGCAAGGTATGTCAGACGATATTCAATAGTCTATTGAACATGCTCTTTTAGCTTGTTTTTTTGTTCCTGGTTATTTTATGGATCCTTAGAAAGATAGGTTCTTTTCAGTTTGTTCTAGTTTTCCTGTTATTCAGTACATTTTAGTTTTGTCTTTCCTGTTTTTCAATTTGTTTTATTTTACTTTTAAGCTAGCTATTTCCTCTTGCAGCTACTTCCTCTTACAGCTAATTCCTCTTACAATTTTAAATTTTGAAGATCTTTCATTTACTCCTATCAATACCATGGCTGATTATATTAAAAACATTAGAGATCTACCAGTACAAAGAGAACTGAATGCCCGTCATACAAGGCCCAGAGAAGTTCATCCACAAGAGGTCACTGCTGTCTCTTTCCCAGAAGTTTTGCTACTCAAGGTCCAACCATCTTCTCCAAGATCTTCCTTAAAACTGCAAAGTTGGAAACTGAGGGCAAGATGTGGGGTCAAAAAAATCACCTTTTTAAAGAGAATGATTCTCTGCTTTTAGGCAGCAGGACAATTTTTTCCCTTCAAGAACACACTTAACCACCTCAAAATCCACTCCTTCATCTCTACCTTAATTACTCAAAGAAGCCAAGGAAGGACAGGGATCAAGTCCCCAGGTAACAGAGAACTCAAAACATTAATATCAGGGGTCTTCAAATTGGGCCCTTTTATGACTTGTAGACTTCAACTCCCAGAATTACTCAGCTATGCATGCTGGCTGAGGAATTCTGGGAGTTGAAGTCCACAAGTCATATAAGGGCCAAGTTTGAAGACCCCTGCTCTATATCCTTAGAGACAAGAAGATGGGAAGTTTTTAGAATTAAAATGAATTCAAACTAGAAATAAGGATAAGATGTATTAGTATTCCTTTTGTATTCTGCAAAGTCTGCCATGAGACCTATACTGCTGCAATATCTGATGCTGAAAAACAGACCTATAATAGGGAGATATAACATGCATTGAACTGTAGCCGTTGACTATCTGTTCTCATAAAATAAGTTGCCTCACAAGAATGTGGTTAAAGCCCAAGTCATTTTATGTTGCAATGCTGTTATATTTTGACATTTTAAAAAAGGTACTGAAATCAAATGCTATCAAGCCCTTCCCCATCCCCACTAATTAAATGTAATATAAAAAGAATCTACTGTATTGAAGCTTGTGCTTTGGAGAATGCCTTGGGATTCTTGGAAATTAAGTCTCACAGAAGTTTATTTATGGAGCAACTGTAAGCAATTGTTTGTTGTTTATGAGTGATGTCTCTATTTGCTACTTTTTATTAAATTTTATTCCTATCTACATCAGGCATGTCAAACTCGCGACATCACGTGACATTGCGTGATGTATCACAACGCATCCAGGCCCCGGGCTGGCAGTTTGACATGCCTGATCTACACATTCCTCCTTGCCTTATCTTTATAGTCAGCATGACTCTTTCAACTTCAGTACACAACCATTGCACAGACGTGGGCCATATACTTTTGTTAAAAGTTATTACACATTATATCCTTATATCCTTGCAACAGGCTCAGATTTCAAGTAATTAATTCTTGAAGACACTTGCTATCAGGGTTTTAACACCGAAGAGATTTTAAAGCTGATTCAGGCCTGGAAAAATAAACCACTTAAGAGTTTTTCCACTAATGTAACAAAATTGTTTATGTCCCCAAAGCTATCATTTTAAGGAGTGGATGGATTCAGTTACTATGGTGATGAGTGAACCATTGGGAAACCTGAACAACAAGTTAGGGATAATTTGTGATAGAGAAAATCTATGTATACCTTTGCTTAGGACTTGAAAATGATTATGCTGGCACATAATCATCTTCACTGACACAGGAACAAATAAAAATAAAACGATTACCCCAAACTCATCATTTTGAACCATACTTTCTCACAATAATTTAAAATTCAGACTTCATCCTTTTCTGAAATAAGCATACCTATGCCCAAATTATCTATCACTTTGAATAAATAATGTGTGTTATATTTTTATGCTACCAACTATCAACGTCAAAGCAATGATCTTTATTTTTTTTTTGGTCTCAAGTCCTTCTACAAGAACCACAGAAAGTTTACTAAGATTTCAAAGCCTGGGAATTACTACGAAGAAAAAAAAACTTGCCCTGACCTCAAACTCAGCCTCGTTCCTGTTCCTCCACCGCCAGGAGTTAACCAAGGAAAGCAGGCTCATTCTGCCTAACGAACTTTAGATATTTGATATTAAGATTTCTCAAGTCCAGGGAATAATGAAACTTCCGAGCTCTCCTATTACCAAGGCAGCCAGCCAGCCAACCACCCCTCTCACCACAACCGAGTCACAGGTTCCCCAGCGAAAATAGCAATTTCGGCTTGGCTCAGAACAGTCCCACCTCCCGGAATCTTGGACGCCGCCTTAAGCCGTTCCTCTTAACCACGGCGCTGAAGGTCTAGCTGGCCTCGGCGCCTGAAAAATCTGCGCCCTAAGACTGAGGCTCTTACGAAGGCACGCTCAGAAGCTTGCACGAGGCTAATTTGATGAAGCGCCCCCTGCGATTCCGGCATTCGCTATCGCCAGCTCTATCAAATGAGGACCTCCACTGCTCGCGCCCTGCCGGTCCCGCGCGCGCGCCCTCGCGGCCTTCTCTTGGTCTTTTCCTTTCCCCCCCATAACTCGGTGCAGAGGGAGCGGTACAAGTGACCGGACGGAGGCCGCCGTTCCCCTGCGTAGAGTTCACCGAGTCTTTTCCTGGTGTCTTCCCAGCTTCCATTTCTTAACACTCGCACGCGGGCGCGCGCATCTCTCAAGGTGAGGGGGAAGAAGTAAAGAAGAGCGGTTCTGGGAAGACCGTTGATCGCGGCGGCGGCGGGGGGGGGGGAGATTGAAGCGTGGGATGTCCGCGCGTTGCCAATCACGTGGGTGCCGAGCACGCGCCTGTGCTGTTGCGGTCGGACCTTTGAGGATCGATCAGGTTGCCTAGGATCGTTGGGCGCGCGCTGACAGGTGCGGTCTGGGTCGGAACTGGGCGCGCGCGCGGGGAGAGAGGATGCAGGCGGGGGGGACGGGAAAAAAAGGAGGTATTGGAAGACTGAAAGGCGTTCCGGTGGGACGCGTTCTCCGTCTCCCCCCCCCCCCCGCAGTCTGTCCCCTCTGCCGTCCCGTCGGCTCGTCTGCGCGGCTTCCTTTTTCTCGCTTCCTCCCTCCCTCTTTCCCTCCCTCCCTCCCTCCGTCCGAATCCCGTAACGCGTTGTTCTCTTCTCAGTAAGCGATGCCCTCGGCCACCAGCAGCGCGATGGCGAGCAGCGGCAGTAAAGCGGGCAACGAGGCAACGGTAGCGGCGGCTTCTCAGGCAGCGGTTTCGGGTGGCACTACGAGTTCGGTGCAGACAGAGGCCATGAAGCAGATTTTGGGTGTCATCGATAAGAAGCTGCGCAATTTGGAGAAGAAAAAGGTACGGAGGCAGGGTATCTCTCGCCCCCTGCCTCTCTCCCCCTCCCTCTCCTCCTCCCTCTTTCCCGGGAGTTGCGAGGGTGGGAATTAGGGTTGATTGGACCGAGTGGCGGCAGCTGAGGTGATTCTTCGAACACTTTCCCTTTCCTTGCGCTTCCCCGCCTGCTCTTTTGTTTCTAGGCGGAGGGGCGGAGAGGCGGCTTTTCGTCAGATCTGAACGCGTTTTCCTTGTCCCTTGGCCTCCAGGGCTGCCTTTCTTCCCGTCGCCCTCCCTTCCCGCTTCCACCCAGCTACCCGGAGACTTGAGCTCTCACCCTTTTTGATTCGTGCTCTTCCCCTCTCTCTTCTTGCACATGGAGCCGGCCCGGACCCAACATGGCGGCGGCGAGAGGCAGCGAGGCTTCCCGGGGAGGGAGCTTCATTGTGTGAAAAAGGCTGCTGCACAAAGGCCCGGCTGTTTGTTTGCTTGCCCGCCCGAGTCGCGCAGCCCTCGCTGTCCGTGTGGGTGCACGCGCGCGCCCGTTCCTTTTCCCCCATTTTAGTTAATCCTTCCTCCGTGTGGAGAAGCGGACGTGGGGTGAAAACATGATCTCTCTCTCTCGGTCCAAGGAAGATTTGCGGGGGGGGGGGAACGGTCCTGTAAAAGGAAGTGTTGAAACTTTCGGCACTTTATTAAACGGTTTTTTTTAAAGTTTAGTTATCGCCGAACAGCGGTGGGCCACATCTAGACTTATTGAAAAGAACCGAGGTGGTATCTTAAAAGAACAGCGATGTATATTACCTTCGGAACGCTTAGGTTTAGCGGTGTGACATGCCCTGCGTTCTTTGTCAACATTAAGGCCCTACCAATACTAGGCGATGAGATTTGCTCTTAATCAGTATTTATTAGAGCAAACTTTTTATAATAACTCATGCTCGCTTTATGGATCTTTGGTTTCAATTTGACATTGATATTCTTACAAGAACTGGTAATAGTGAAAAGGTGTTCTCATTGTACATCCCAACTTGCCACAGTCCTGATGTAATGTACTACATCGATTATCCCCCCAGTCTCTATGGACATTACTCTGAAGGAGATGGGGACAAGGTCAGTATATCTAAAGAGAAGGAAATCCTCTCTTGATTCTCTTTTTATTCCAAAGAATAAAGAACAGGGAATGAAGTGGTACTGACAATTGTGAGAGGAGAGGAAAGAGCAAAATTCAACTTCCACAGTTTCCGCTGGTTGAAATACTTTGACCACAGTTTCTGCTGGTTGAAATACTTTGATGGGAACTCTTCGCTAATTGCTTCTACCTCTATATAAAAAAACAACAGTCTGTGGAAATGTGCATTAAATTGTTAGTGATCACAATCAAAAGAACAGTGTACAACTAGTTTACCAGGTGTTTGCCAGGTGTTTCTAAAATGATAGGAAATGTGAAAAGATAGCTGTGATGGAAGAGAAGCAGCGGGGTACTTCTTAGCTTGCTGTATTATGGGGAGCATAATGAATCAACTTTAAACATTCAACTCATTGAAAAATTAAATACTTGTTTGAGCAAGGCTTCCTTTTATCTAAATTGCATGGGAACACATTATTAAATAACCCTTAGATTTTTATATTAAATGTTGCCTGTAAGTCCAGTAAATGTGAAAATGTTTAATTCACTGAAGTAATTCACTAATTTTTTGAATTAGTGAGTAAGATATCCATATGTTAGGAAGTTATTTAGACTCAGTTTATGCAGGTCCTCAATTTTCTAAAACTCCCTTTTCTAATCTTTGTATCAATTCTGCCTCTTCCAAAGATCATAGCTTTGGTGCTGTTTTTTCCTACTTTTGCAATAATATTAAAGTTTAGTACACTATGGAGGACTGCTGCTGTACTTTAATCTTAATAAATTTATCAGGGTTGTACATGGCTTTGAATTCATTTCAATAACATTGCTTTGAAGCACATATGTGGCCCATGTTAATGACTCATTGAAGCATTCCTTGGATCACATAGCTACTTTAGTTGTACCTAATGTTGCTTTTATGTTGAGGTGTCCTTTTCAGAATCAAGCCCAAAGTGTTATAAAATCCTAATGCTTCTCTACTTGATTTAATAAATTTAGTTTGTGATTTAGCATTTGTAAAGGAAATTTTGTTGCAATATATAAAATATATATTATAACTGCTAGGGTATTAAAATTTTAGATTGCAATATTCTGGTTGATACCATAGTTACTTAAACCATTTGTAAAAATACTGCTGATTTTGAAATTAAGGTATCTGTGCTTGTTATGCTTAATACTGAATGAAAGATTTTTAAGCATTCCAGCAAAGATAAAAGCACAGGTTTATATGTAATGTTAAATTATACTAAGACAAACATGGCATCTAATCTGTGTGGTGATCCAGATTTTGCTTCTATTTTTGATTAATCATAATTTACTGGGTCATTTGAACCAAGGCAGATTTCAAAATCACATTTGTAATAAAAATAAGCCAAATTCAAACCATATTTTATATCTCGTATGTTCTCATAACAATAGTAGTGAAGCAGGAATTTGCAGTCCACAAATGGTTTTGTTTGAGGAATGGAGTCTACCAAGAGCATGGCAAGTTATAAAAACTTTGTTCTTACGATGCTAAGTATAATTGTGTAAGCTTCTGGTGTCCTTCAGATTCTATCTTTGAACATAATATGTTAGTAATCCAGAACATATTGAATAGCCTTCTCTAGGGCTTCAAAAAGGCTGGAATGTCATCCAGGTGGGGGATTTTGCAAATTATATTACCATGTTAATGAAGGTTTAACTAAAATGTGTCAACTTGCCTGTATTCAGCTTAAACTGTGGCTCACTTACATTTGGGCAGAACCAAAGGGATCTGACATTGCTATATGTAGTCATAATATTAGAATTTTTAATCTCCACAATAATCCATTTTCAAGAATATCCTGTCTCAGCATACACTATGATGTAGTGATAAAATCTTATGAGTCCTGAAATGATACCTAAAATAATTTTTAAAAAGTTTTAAATGGTAAGACCACACGACTACACTCATAATGTCATTAAATAGATTGTGCATTAACTTTGATCTGGAAATGCCAGTGATGAAACTGAACAAAAGATAGATTTGTTCTATCAGTTTCTGTTCAATAACTTCCTCAAATTAAACTTGCCAGCAATGCAGCAGAATTTTTCTGTAGAGGTCTGTTAAAAAAACCTAGGAATACATTTCTGCATGTATGTTGAGATCTCTGGATGGGGTATCCCCAGTATATCTGTGTTTAGAGGTAAATTTGCATAGATTAAAAAATTGAATCTATTTGACCCCAAAGTAAAATGTCCTTATAAAATCTAATTGTTGAGATTTTAGTTCTGAGCTTCTGGTTTTTAAAAAGCACTGCATCTAGTACTCAGTGGCCCACAAAGTTCCCCTGTGTGGGTAACATTATATAACATGTGCAATAATAACCTTTTATCCCTGATTGATATTTGGTATATGTAAACCTAGGTAAGAAGTACTATTTTAAAGAAACAGAAAATAGTAAAGTTATAATCTTAGGTATTTTCTTGAAAATGAGATGATAAATACAAAACTTGGATAAAATAATTTTGCACATAATTTTCTTGTGCAATCAAATTAATACCTATAAAATTAATATTGCATTATAGTTATTCTTGCCTTAAAGCCATAGTTAATGTTTTTATTGGAAATGTTTATTCAAGTATATGCATTGCAGCCAGTTTACTTGGATAACTCTTCAGTATTCCTAGAGTTTTGTTAGGTAAATGCAAATTATCATGCAGAAATTAGTTAGCTTCTTTATATGTGATATAATATGGAAAGCCTTGGGAAATGATCTCCCTAAATTTGTGGGTCTTTCCTTATTAAAAATAGTGTGCTTTGTAACATAATTTTGTAGAATGAATCATATCTCAATCAAAAGACATTTCTACATATCTTAAGAAGAGTTGTTGAAGTGTGTGCGGCTGGGCAGGATTGTCTGAAATGTACAAATCATTCTTTCCAGTAATAGTCCAAATTTTCCCAATAATGGTTGGGAAATGTATGGTTCCCCAGTAGGTCACAGAGAACACAAGGAGACTATAAACTATCTGCAGGCCACTCTTGTCATTTTAGCATAAATAAGGAAAATTTTGAACAAGAATAGCATTCATGGAAAGATACCAAAAATAAAACCTTTGTGCTCAGGAAAGCTCTTTGCTACCCATCTCAGATTCACCAAGGACCGCCTGGATAATTCAGTAGACTACTGAATAAGACTACTGATAAAGGTTGATCTTTTTGGTAGTTAAAAAGAAGCAATTTATTCACTGAAAGAAAGAAATTAATTCCATTATGAAACATGGTGACATGGAATATCATGACTGGACAACTTGCAGTCATTAAGGCAATAATGGATTCTGGATTACATCAAATTCTACAGAAAAAAGGCTTAGTCTCTGTCTGTGAGCTAAAGCTTAAACAACATGCATAATGCAACATGAAAAAAGCCCTAAGCACACAAGTAAATCTACAACATAAGTGCTGGAGTAAAACAAGCATTTTGGGAAGCTTAAGTCAAAGCCATGGCCCAGGTGAAATATGCCATGATCTGAAGTGAGCAATTTATATGAAAAACAGTCCTAACATAGCAGGAAGTTGAAGCCATTTTGTACAGGGGACATGAGCCAAAATACCTACAGGAAATGCGAAGTGATTACTGTTAAAAGAAGGTCCTCAATTATTAAATCTAAAGTTTCATGTACTGTACTTCACATTCAGTTAATATTTGCTCAGTAGGTTTAGTGAAGACAGGTCACAGTGCATTGCTTGGGTGGTGTTTGTTCAACCCTAATCTGTTTTTTTTTAATAGAACTTGGATGAAGTTCAAATCATACTATAGGCTACAGTTCTGCATTATTATAGGGTAGGGAGAAGAGGAAGAAATGTTTGTTTCTCAGTAGCAGTGCTAACTAGAGATCTAGATGGCATTCTCCTAAACTTCAGAAAAGCTATCAAAATCTTGTTCAGAAGGATATTTGGAGACTGAGACACAGTCTTTGGGTTCTTAAAACTATTAGTTTTAATAACAATGTTAGCTTTGTAGTTAATTTTTTTCTGTCTTTTTCATACTATATTTTATGGATTTGTATTTTGTTGTTTTCTGATTTTAATTATATACCAACATGTGTCCTTATGGTATGAAAGTATAAAGTAGAAAAAATTAATAAAATACCTCTTTTCAGTTGCAGTCATTGCAATCTATTAAACATGGGTTGGGAAATATATTTACTCTAATAAGTCTTAAGGAACAATTATTTCAAGAGGGGTACAAAAGTTTCCACATTTGAAATGTTTGAATACTCAAAATACTCTTGTATGGGACATAACAACGGTTTTCAATTTAAAACAACCTGTTCTGATGTGTCAGGAAACAATGTCATTCAAACTTTACTGGTGCTCTGATTTTTAATGATACAAAACAACATGGGAACATTGTCAGTTTAGATCAGGGGTGTCAAACTGCGGCCTGTGGGCCGGAGGCATCATGAGGAAACCGTGCTCACCCATTGCCGGCAATGGGGAAAAAGTTCCGATACGTCGTGCAACGTCACGTGATGTTGCGAGTTTGACAATTCCTACATTTTGGGGGTGGGTGGGACATAATTTGAAGGCTTTTAACTTTCTGAAATTAAATTCTGTGAAAAATTAATTGCTGTTACATTTATCTAAATGCATACAATTATATAAATTAGTAAACATAGAAATGATAGAAAATAAGTTTTGAAGTAATTATGGATGACAGAATATTCATATATTTTATCCAATAGTTGACCTTGGGCCAGTCAATCTCTCTCAACCCAATTCACTTTACAGGGTTGTTGTGGAGAAAATAGAACGAAGAAGGTGTGTTGGATATATTTGCCAATATGTTTGAATTATTTGCATAAATATTAAAGGCAGGATTAAAAAAACTAAAAGGTTTGTTGTAGCTTTAAAATATTCTACCATTATAAAATTATTTAAGTAGCAATTAACAATAAAATACAAAATAATATAAAGGTATTGTATATTCCGGCATATAAGGCGACCCGGTGTATAAGACGACCCCCGTCTCGGCGCCGAGTTGCATGCCTAGAAAGTTGTCTTATACGCCGGAAACTACCGTTATTTCCGGCGTATAAGACGACTCGGCATATAAGACGACCCCCGACTTTGATGCCAATTTTAAAGCTTGCGAAAGTCGTCTTATATGCCAGAAAGTACGGTAGTCCTTGATTTATAATCGTAATGAAGCCTGCCCATGATTGTCATAAGTCTTGATAAAATAGGTTGGTTGTGTGATTTTTGCAATTTTATGACATTCTTTTCAATAGTTGTTAAGCAAATATCTGCTTGTTAATATTTGCTCATACTTGCTATGTGTGCAATTTTGCTGTAAATTGGAAGTAATTGATGGTTTTTAGCAAAACTGTCATAATATGTGATCATGTGAACATAGGACATTACAAGCGGTAGTAAATATGGCCCAGCTGCCTAGCTCCTGAAGTTTGATTGTGTGACAAGGGGATGGGGTAATTGTCAAAACTTCATAATCTCACATAGGTCCATCATAAATTTGAATACTCGCTAAGCGACTATCTGTAGGTCAAGAACTGGCAATTGTGTTGAATGCTGGATGCATGTAGGCTAGTTAAGCAGATGTGTTGCTATCTGTTACTTCAGTTTTATGATGCGAGAGCAACAGTTTGTTTTAAATAATGGAAGGAGAAAATATATTGGTGCTGTACAGTGAAACATTTGCCGCAATCTAGTGTTATAATGTATCAGATTACAGTATTGCTTAGGTCAACAAATAAGAAAAAGTAACCTACAGTGTGCTAATTCTAATTAGCCTGTGAAAAATTCTTGAGAATACACTTGTGCAGAAAGAATGAAAATCCTCTTAAGGTTCGCAAAATTTTCTTTTTTTCCTTTTTAATTTTTTTTATTAAGTTTGTCAAAGGATACAGTGCAAAAAAAGGGGTTAGGGGAAAAAAAGGTTAAAGAAAAAACAAAATCAGGACTACAAAAAGAAAGAAAAAGTGAAAAGGGGGAAAAGAGTAACTTTCAGCTTTCTTCCATACAGATACAGATATAAAATAGGTTAACCTCTTACTCTAAAATCAACAATAATACACAGTAAACGGTTCTAATTATCAAGTCCCAAAATTAAAAATTCATTTCTTTTATGTTCTAGCAAGAAGTCCAACAGTAGTTTCAAAGTTGGACAAGGCCTATTATTTAATCACAGTATATCCTGGAGTTAATAAGTATTTGTTTAGTGGCTGTTCGAAGTTACAGTGGCATTAAAAAAAGTGGCTTATGATTTTTTCACCTTACAACCATTGCAGCATTCCAGTATTTATATGATCAAAATTTGGATACAAGTGGCATGTATTTATGACGATTGCAGTGTCCCAGGGTGGTGTAATCAACTTTTGTGATCTCTGACAAGCAAAGTCAGTGGGGAGGCCAGATTCACTTAGCAGTGGTGTTACTAACTTAACAGCTGCAATGAATCACCTAACAACCATGGCAAGAAAGATCATAAAATGGAGCTAAACTCATTTAAAACTGCCTTGCTTAGCAATTGAAATTTTGAGCTCAGTTGTGATAGTAAGTTGTGGACTTCCTATAGTCGGTTTTTCTTTTTTTGCTAGTTGATTAGCTTCACAATCCATTTTTCCGTTGTAGAAATTTATAAATCCTTCCCTCACTGTGCATACAGAAGTCTTGCTGCTGTTTTTCATAAAAGTTTTGGGTTTTTTTCAACCTGTTTATCAAACCAAAATGGAAAAGCTTTGATTTTAGTTATCAGGTATTATGTCACAGATATATCATTTTATAAATGTTCTGTTTCAAACTATAATTCAATGTAATTCAAATTATTATTCAAGGTACATTTCAGTCCTTTACTCCACATACTGTATTCTTCCATTGATCAAGATTATATACATATTTTTGCTCACTTGATCATACAGTCTTTGACATGCTCATCTTCAGTTCTCATTTTCAGTGAAAACTTATACATCTTATACATTCTTATACTTATACAAAATACTTATACATTCATCATTAGTACACAAATTCAACTCAAAGTCACTTTATTCATTTGCAAAATCAGAACTTTCATCCAGTTTAAATCTTTCTGTCACCTGAACATAAGCAAACCACTGACAAATATGGCCTTTAGTTTCCAATTATCCTGTTTTTAAGTTTAGGTTCTCCTTTGAAAAAAGTCAATAAATCAGCATAAGTCAACCAAGATTGTGTAGAATTCCTTTGACATGTACAGCATTCGAAACCTCTTACAAAAAGAAACTTATATAGCATCCGCATCCAGGATTATATTTTACTTGCAGGCCAAAAATATGTTAATATCGTAATGTATTGCAACCTGAAAAATCCTTCTGTAAGATGCCAGTATATCTGAAATTTAGCTAATGTCCATATAGTAAGGATTTGACAGAATCAGATTAGCTGATACCACTGTAACATGAAAAATTCTACACAAAGAATACTTCTTTCTTGGAGTTTGGCTTTAGTTGAAAAGATTGAGGAAGATGAATCTAAAAATTGGGCAGAAAAATCTTTGAGGAAATATAAATGAGACAACATCCCACATCTATTCATTCATTTATTCATTTTATATCTCACGTGATGGCTCATATTAATCTTTCCTCCTACCAAATTGTAATAAAAGAACAACTACAAGGTGTCAGACCAGCCTGCTGTCAACCTCCTGGCTCATCCCCCATTGTCAGTCTTCCAAGATAGACCAAACTTGGAAACAAAAGACACAAATTAATACTACTTTTATTACAAGTTTATGGTAACAGAATGTTGCAAGCTTAAATGCATTTCTTCCCTTATTTTCTTTATTTTCATAGAACTAGGGAGGGTCTTGTCTGATACATGGCTGCTCCGACTATTATCTTAATCATGGCTCTTCCTTCTTTTTTCAAGGTTATTCCTTCTTCCCTTTGGGTGAAGAGTCATGTCTTGTTACAAGTAGGAACTGCCTATCTCCCTCACAGAAGGATTTTGAGCATTGTACAAGTAAAATGTTAAAAACATAAAAACAAAATACAAAATTTAAAGTACCGTAGAGGCATGGATAGTTAAAACTGATACTAATAATTAATTATAAGGCAGGGGAAGGGCTGTTGTGCTCCTCTGTGAGTCCCAAGTGAGGTGACAGAGCCAACAGATATTTTCAAAAGGAAAAGAGAGTAAGGGACTGCCTTTTCTCTGGGGGGAGAATATTCCAAAGGATGGGGGGCAACAGCAGAGAACAACAGCTCTCTTCCTGGACCCTGCCAGGTGGAATGCTTTAATTGAACGGGTCCACAACATTCCTTCCCTACCTGACTGGGTGAGAGGAGCTAATGTGAAAGGTTAAAGGATCCGGGGTCCCCCAAATTTCAATTGGGGGTCTATTCCACAGGACTGAGGGAGCCACAGAAAAGGTGCACCTCTGAAATCCCATTGCAAATACCCATTTAAATAAATTAGCAGGATTCATTTTTACTGTTTTTCTTGTTTTTTCCTTTTTAGAGATTAAACAGTCCATATGTAATGGAAATAATGTAAATGCGTAGCAATGTTCACTTAAGAAAGGTAGGGTAATACTTGATTAATTTTGTCTTCTAAGTTTTTACATAATTTCTTGTGCTTTCTCCTTTTAAGTAGAAAGATATGGAAAACGACTCTTATTTTCTGATGTAAGACATTTTCATTTAATTCTGTTAAACTTGCTTACAATTTTTAATTGTAAAAGTTTTCTCTTATTTGCAGAGCAAACTTGATGATTATCAAGATCGAATGAACAGAGGAGAACGCCTTAACCAAGATCAGCTGGTAAATATTTTGATAATTTCTTGTAATTTTGTAAAATTTTTAAAAACTTTAGATCATATTCTCTCATTTTATTTTAGCTGCTGCAGTCTTGTGAAAAACAGGCCCTTACAATTGTGCTTCTCCATTATGTTCAGCATTATATACATGCTTTTCATTGTATTTCTGTTATTTGAAAGGCAAAAAAATGTTGCAAATTAAGGAGAAGAAACTGCATGATTGATTGTGTTCAAGAAGTAGGAATCTTAAAGGCTGTTCCTAATGTTATGACAAATGCCAGTGTGCATTTAAAAAAAACAGGTGAAAGACTAGTACTGCATCAGGATTCTGGATAACAAATGATGTTTGGCAATATAAAGATGGTCCAGTGCATCAGTTAAAAGGTTCCATCAATCACCTTTGATTGTTGGGGATTTATTTTTGGACACACTTCATCTATTTGAAGATTTAAGGAACCTGATAACTTTTGGGGGTTGGTGAAAGTGGAATAAATTTTGAATTCTGGACTGCTAGGAACTATTCCAGTTTAGAAATTGCTTTCCTTTCAAAACTTTCTATTTTGACAGTTTTCTGTAAAAAGTGTATCTGTTTTGCTATATTTATAGAAAATGAAATACTAACCAAACCTTAATAGAAACATATGTGAAACGCAGCTTCAAGTTTTTATGCTTTTTTAAAGAGACCAAATCAATTTTCTTTTCTGCCTTAGGATGCTGTGTCAAAGTACCAGGAAGTCAGTAATAATCTGGAATTTGCCAAGGAACTGCAGAGGAGTTTCATGGCTCTAAGTCAAGATGTAAGTAAAGAGTAGACGGTTCAGAATAGATTAGGTGTGGAAAAATTAAGATGTATGTCAGTAAATGTTTATACGTATGTGTGTAATTTTATTAGGTGAGCTTTCTTGTGTTTATGAAATCTGAACACATCTTGTCCCAGATTCTTATGTATTATTAAATGTGCAAAATAGTTTTTGATGGATGTGCAGGTTTCTACTTCAGTTTGGAGTGGTTTGTTCCTAACTGATACTTGCATATTGTGTGTGTTCTTTTTTATGCATGGAAAAGGACATTATATTGATCTGCGTAGAAGAAAATAGGACTGTTTTAATCTTTTCAAGGGGAAAAGTCAGGGACATATATAGCAGAGAAGAAGAAAAGATTGTTGGTAGGATATTATGTGCTGTGGCATTGAAATGGTGTTTGTAGGGAAAGTATAGGAAAGCTTGGGAGTGGAGTTATGGTGAAGTATTTCATGCTGGGAGGAATGAAGGCATTGGGAAGATGAAGGTTAGGCAGGCTGTTGAAATATGCTTTGTTGGAAATTGTATAAGGAAGAGGGGTGCAATCCTTACTAAATTTACCCATTTGGATTTTGTTTCATTTTAAAGCTGGAATAACCAAACTTTCTGAATTTTGGTTTTATTAAGCTGTGTGGTCCCTAGAATCTCAGGAGCACAATTCTTGTCCTGGATTCAAAACAAAGCATTTATTTGGTTTAATGTTAAACATTTTCAAAAATAATTTTTGAATACTTCAGGCATGTTCTACATAGAAAATAACTATCTGTGAAACAATAATTTGATTTGAGCACCAAGAAAACAATGCTAAGTAAATTAGGAAATTGAGTATAAGGAAAAATTACTTCAGCCCTCAAATTCTGAAAGCATAAATATTTTTCTCTGTATAACTAATATTTATAGTGATAATCAGCATTGGCATATGATGAGAGGAGATAGTATTCGAAAAGCATAATGAACATGAACAAAGATTGACTTTTCACAATTTCTCACATGCCCAGTAACACAAAATCACACAGATGTAAACACCTATTATTTCAGGGTCTTTTTAATTTTAGATTTTGGGGAGAGTCAGGAATTTTTCATTTTATTAAAATGAGTAATCCCTGGTCCAGAGCACAAGTGATTGTACTACTTTGTGATTTTATTTAATCCAAGGACTTGTTTGTAGGAATTATGAAGAAAAGTCTTCTAAAGAGTTATTCCATGAACAAATGTACAGTGTAGTTAGTTACCTAAGAAATGATGATCTTTTGTGTGCATATGTTCAAGTAAGGGCAAAAACTTAACTAATGGGGATGCTTTAGTTTAGGTTATATGGCATTAAGATTTGTTGTTGATCTTTTTCAGTGTTTGACATTGAAATTTTAAAAAACTGATAATACACTAACTGTGGAAAGATCCCATTCCATATCTTTTCCTCCACCTAGCAATTCCTATTGTGCCTTGTTCAGTGATCTAATGATAGAGAGAAATTTCTCAGAAACTGAAGATAGCTGCAGGAGGACAAAGTACATTATGTGTAATTTCACAAATGCAATAGAAAATATAAAATCAAGAATTCTAATTTCATATATGATGTGTGATACTGAAATGTTTCATAAAAAAAGGAAGGTGAAAAAAGTTGCTGATGCGGGTGATGTAGTGGAGAAAACTGCTACCGTGTTTTCCTGAAAGTAAGACCTACCTCTATCTTGATTTTTGGAGGTGGGCCTAATATAAACCCTACTCCCAAAATAAGCCCTAGTTTGGAGGAAAGGTGCACACCTAAAAATCAATCTAAGGCGGGGTGGGGGGGTGGAACTGCCCCATGCGCTTACTGTTGCAGTCAGGCCTCCCACCAATTGGCACCTGCCTCAGCTCACTGACCCACTTCTTCGGCACCTCCTGGCCTGCATTTCACCATCAAAGGCCTTCTGGAAAGGCCTTTGCAGCCGAGAACTGAGCTACAGATTCAATCCGTAGCTTGGTTCCCGGCTGCAGATGCCTTTCCGGAGGGCCTTGGATGGTGAAATGCAGGCGAAGCTCAATTTTCAGTTGCAGAGGCATTTCCTTTGTCCACAGAAGAAGTGGGCCAGCTGGGCAGGGCTGTCGGTGTTGCTGCCATGAGGTGAGACTGTGGAAAAGACCCCCCCTGAAAATAAGACCCGGTGCCTCTTTTGAAAGCAAAAAAAAAAAAAAAGACCAGGTCTTATTTTCGGGGAAACACAATAGTATGGAGAAGACTAATCACAGTTAGTTATGTCTTAAAGAGAGGGATCTTGGTTGTCACTTTTAAAGATCTATATGACATTGAACCAATTTACTTATGAGATTTCCTATTCTCAGTGATTTCTGCCCATTCCTCTAAATATGGTAGAGTGGGCATGCTCAGACTCCCAGTGATGAAGAATTGTCACTGGGTGGATTTCAGGAAATAGGCCTTCTCTCCCCTGGGGCCTATCCTGTGGGACAGCCTCCTTCCCATTCCCCCACCCCAGATTTAGGCAATCCTGATCCTATTAGCTTTTCAGAAGATTGAAAATCTGGCTCTTCCCCCTAGCAGTGGGCCCAGGATATTAATGGATCTCTAGTATGAGTGTGATTTGATACATCGATTGAATTTTTAGGAATTCCTTGTTTAGAATGAGTGGTTACATATATTTGTTAAATAAACAAATCTAGTTAAATAGTATGGGGAGCAGGAAAATCTTATGAAGCTTTTAGCTATTCATTATCTCCTCAGAAACTTTTCAGGAAACACTGAAATATTTGAAATAATCAAGTATTGGGTTTCTCCCGTTAAAATGCTTAGAATGTTTAATAAGTAGAATCTGTTAAATTTGTTTACTACTTCAAACACTTGTTAAGCAAACACATTTTTTACCAGATTCAAAAAACAATAAAGAAGACAGCCCGACGGGAACAGCTAATGAGAGAAGAAGCTGAACAAAAACATTTAAAGACAGTACTTGAATTGCAGTATATTTTGGACAAATTGGGTGATGATGAAGTGCGCAGTGACCTAAAACAAGGAACAAATGGGGTATCTATATTAACAGAAGCAGAACTATCCACACTTGACGAGTTTTACAAGCTGGTTGAACCTGAACGTGATATGAACATAAGGTATATGATTGAGTATAAAGCCAAAATAATTCAGAATAGTAATTGTGATCTAATTACTTTTTTTGCAACATGAAACTTTTGAGGTAACATTACATTTCTGTTAATTTCTTTGTTGAAGGTTGAATGAACAATATGAACAGGCATCCATTCATTTGTGGGATCTATTGGAAGGGAAGGAAAAACCTGTATGCGGGACAACATGCAAGTATTTTTATTCTTATGATTTTTAAATGATAACATTTAGAATATTTAGAATATTTAGGTTGATTCTTTATAATTTATAGTACCTGTGGTTTTATGGTAATACCAAAAAAGGAGACATAACACTGCAAATTCTCATACAATACCCTTAATTTTATATTCTAGCAAAACAGTGCTTAGGATCACCCAAAAGAAAAAGAGATGCCAGATGTTCAAGCTGCTTTAGAAAAGGCCAAGGAGCTTGAGACATTGTTGCTGATGCATGGTGGATAACTGAGAAAACCAAAGAATATCAAAAAGAAGCCATTGTATGCTTTTTTTGATTATATAAAGTCTTCTGTTTGTGTTAATCACATCAAGCTCTGGAATGTGGTCAGAAGAATAGGAATCCCAAGACATGCTATTGCCCTCATGATAAACTTATACATAGGTCAGAAAGCCATTGTATAGACAGAATATGGTGAAACAAACTGGCTCCAGGATGGCAACTGTGCATGACAAAGCTTTGCTTTGCCCTTATTTATTCAATATATATGTCAAATAAATTTTAACGGCAACTGGATTGGAAGAATATGAGCATGATTTAAAAACTGGAGGAAGAAACATCAACAACTTGTTTTATGCTGATGACAACATGGTGATAGCTAAAATTGCAAAGGATATATGAGCTCTAGTAATAAAGGTCAAGGAGCACAGTGAAAAAAATGGGACTAAAATTAAATACAAAGTCCAAACTAATGACAGGTAGAACAACCAACCTTAGAATTTATAGTAAAGATATTGAAATGGTGGATAGCCTTTTAAGATTAACCATCAACAGTATAGAAACAAGTAGTCAGGAAGTACAGATTAATACTTGGTAGAACAAAAAAGTCTTGGATAAGATATTAAAATGTTTTGATGTTTCTGTATCTACAAAGAATCATGCAAGCCACGGTATTCACTGGGATTGTCTATGGAAGAAACAAAAGTTGAAATTTGAAGAAACATGATAGGAAGTATACTCACACTTTTGAGCTTTGGTGCTGGAGAAGGCTTCTGAGAATACCATGGGCAGCCAAGAAATAAAAGGGCCATCAAACTACCGTATTTTCCGGCGTATAAGATGACTTTCTAAACCCTGAAAATCTTCTCAAAAGTCGGGGGTCGTCTTATACGCCCAATCATCTTATACGCCGGAAAAATATTACTCAAGTTTTCTCTTCCCCCCCTCTCTCGCTCAAAAAGAGTCCTAGGGTTATTATTATTAAAACCAGTTGATCAACTAAAGATATCTCTTTCCAGCCTCTATACTGGGAGTACGATTATCTGGCTGTCGTGACGGTAAGATTTCCTGGAGGTTTATTCCCCATTCTATAATGCTGCATTGCATATCGCCTCCTTCTCTCTTCTTCCCTCTCCGCCATCCCAATTCCTTGCCCGCCCCTCCAGAACTGCAGATTGGTTGTGGCCGTCCCGTGATTAATTCATTCAAAGGAAGTAGAAAGGGATGGCTCATGTAATGGGGAAGGGGGGGGAAAAGAGTTGTAGGTGTTTTTTTTTATATAATGAAAACAAACCTAAGCATCTGCGTCCATTCGAGGCACTTCTCAGCGCTTATTCATCCGGGGCCTTTTCGGTGTTTACCTCTCACTCCCGGTGGGAGTAGCTTGGGGGAAGCGGAGCTTGAAAGGAGGCGGGGCCGTAGGAGATGCTCATGGGGGATGCAATGGCGGCTCATGCTGAGTGTGTGACCGGTGGCTGTGGAGGTGGGCAGGCAGGCGGCGGCAGCGCAAGGCGTTCCCTCTTTCCTCGCGCCCCACACGGTAGGGAGAAAGGAGGAGGAGGCTATGGGTCTGGAAGGGGAGGGGTGTCAGCTAAATTCATCTCGGATTTACGAAGCAGGAATGGAGGGGGGACAGAAAACAGCTACACGGTCCTTTCGCCCGTCGACTTCCACCGAGCTTATGCCAGCGGTTTCCCCCGCCTAAATAAACTTGCATGGTGCATTTGTGGTGTTATTTATGACAGATCCTGGTTGGTCAATCTGGCTCCTGTCAATAAGTACTGTAGTGCACTGAGTTTTAATAACAAATTAAAAGGAAAGCATTTACTTCCCCCCCCCCATTACCTGAAAAGGGGACAACTTACCACATTTTCAAAGGGCGAATGCCTTTCTTACTTGGTTTATTAACTGCTTCCTTTCCTTCTTCCCTAAACATTCTGGCTGTCGCCAATTTCATTCTTGGTAGTGTTGCTTTAAAAAACTGCTGAGAAGTCCTTTTGTAGGCAGGGCAATTTCCATCAAGGTGTGTGTGCAATTGACAAGGCAGAGCCCCGAAGTTTCCCGGCTTACAAACATGCAGGCTTTCTGCTCGCTCGGCTCGGGGAGGCTGTGGAGGATTCGGGGGGTGGAAGACCGAGAGGAGGAGATCCCTATGTGCAGCCTACTTGCTCCAAGCCGGAGCTCGCTACCGGGGGGGGGGGCAACGGAAGGGACCCAGGGAGTCGCATGCATGCCTACATACGCACGCACACACCCTGAGCTACTCATTTGGAATTACAGGTGGCCAATGAGAACTCAGAAAACTTCGCTTCCTTTCCTCCCTCCCTTTCCCCTTCAGCGAAAGGGTATATTGGCTTGTCCATTTTTTCCCAGGGCTTATAAGATGACAGGAAGGGCTGGGCAGGCAGAGAGAGCTGACCCACCCAATCCAGGCAGGCTTTGTATACAACAACCAGCCAATCACTGGTAAGTTGTACACTGGGTACATACAGTATAGCACCAGTATTTGTACCAGTTCATACAGTACAGCACCAGTACATACAGTACAGTATTCAAATGTCCAACAGTCAAGACCCCACCACCAGCAAGAAGAAAGAAATATGAAGCCAGTTTCAAACTTAAAGTTGTAAACTTTGCCATGGAACATAACTGTGCTGCTGCAAGACAATATGGAGTAACAGATGGTTCGGGACTGGAAAGCAAATGAAAAAGCATTAAACAGTATGCCAAGGGGTAAGTGTGCATTAAGAAGAGGCACCCCACATTGGCCAGAACTCGAGAAACATGTAGCAGACATGGTGAATGAGCATCGCCAAAATGGTTATGTCGTGACACGAAATAAAATATGTTTGTTTGCACTTCAGTGGGCCAATTCTAACCCAGATCACAGCAACAGATTTAAGGCCACTGTATCCTGGTGTACTAGATTCTTGGAAAGGCATAATATGGTACTGAGGCAAAAGACGAAAATTGCACAAAAATTACCTGCAGATCTTGATAGCAAAGTAATTAGTTTCCATCGATACGTAATACAACAGCGTATTAAACATGGCTATGCGTTAAATAGTATTGGAAATACGGATGAAACTCCAATGAACGTTGATATGATTGGAAATAAAACTGTCCATCAAAAAGGTGAAAAAACAATTTTAATTAAAACAACAGGACATGAGAAGTCCAGTTTTACAGTGGTACTAGTATGCACAGCTGATGGTGCCAAACTGAGACCAATAATTATTTTTAAAAGAAAAACAATGCCGAAACTCAAGTTCCCTGTTGGTTGTTTTGTACATGTGAATGAAAAAGGCTGGATGGATGAAGAAGGGGTAAAGCTATGGCTTGATAATGTATGGAGCAGGCGACCGGGTGGACTTATTCAAAAACGTAGTCTACTGGTGTGGGATATGTTCAGGGCTCATTTAACTCCCAGCACCAAGCAAAGGCTTGCAAGACTAAACACAGATGCGGCAGTTATTCCTGCAGGATTGACATCGTTAGTACAGCCACTGGATGTGTGTCTAAACAAGCCATTTAAAGATTGCATTCGAGAACAGTGGAATGAATGGATGGTTAGCGGTGAAAAGTCATTCACAAAAGAAGGAAAAGTGTGTTCCGCAGTTGGATGTTTTGTGCAAGTTTGTCATAAAAGCCTGGAATGATATTGATGCAGAAACAATAATCAAGTCTTTCAAGAAGTGTGGCATATCAAATTAATTAGATGGTATGGAGGACGACTACTTGTGGCAAGATGAAGAGGAAGCTGAAGCTGCGACCACACCATCTGATGCGGAATTCGATCCATACGATGACTGCCTTACAAATGTATCACAAGATGTCATTGATATTTTTATGATATCAGATGATGAACAGGATGATTTTGAAGGCTTTTAAAGGGAAAGTATCACACCAGCAAAACCTGTAAAAATAGCTTGCAGTTATGATGGGTGTTGCTGACTCGCCAGGGACTTGCCTGGCACTTGCTCTCTCTATTGTTTGTTATCTTCCTCCTATCACCATCAGTTCCAGTTTGGTTGACAGCTTAGAAAACAAACAGCATGGCAGCTCCCATGGGTTTATTGTCTTATCCCTCCTTTCAGCTTTAGAGTGAATTAAGAAAAGTTTAATCCACTTGCACTGTTTTATGTTTACATGTTTGATGACAAACAGCCTTATGTTTATAAGTGACAGTTTTCCTGCTAAGTACCTGCATGTCATAAGCATTTGAATTAAAGTTACCATATTGAAATCAAATCTGATGTTTTTTTTATTAAGTTTTACAAATTTAATACAATATAACCCAAACCCCTCCCAACCCTTCCCCCCTCCCACACTTCCCAGAGCTGATTACAGGGTAACAAATAAACAATCATAATCTAACAAACATTACCCGACTATACTATCAATCAATCTATAACATACTTTAACTCCTTTTCAAAACAAATGTTAACTAATTAAAAACAAAAATAATAATATAATTAAACCATAACACTAAAAATAATATAAATTCAACCATATTAAACTATTAATAATAATCTAAAATCTACTCATATGCAAGATAATACTTTTCAGTCTCATATTTCTTTTGAATGTAATCAATCCATCTTCTCCAGACCGAAATTCATTTTTCTTGTGAATGGTCCTTCAGATAGGTGGAGATTTTTGCCATTTCTGCTAAATTAGACACCTTAAGTATCCATTCTTCCATAGTAGGCAAAGAATTTTTCTTCCAATATTGCCCCACCAACAATCTTGCAGCTATTATAAGATTCAGCATCAAATTAATTTCTTTAACATCAAAATCTACCATAATACCCAACAAAAATAATTGCGGAGTAAACTTAATCTTTCTCTTAAAAATCTTTTGAATATTCCACCAAATTTTAATCCAAAAAGCTTTTATATCTCTACAAGTCCACCAAATATGAAAATAAGTTGCATCTAAACTTCCACATCTCCAACATTTGGGCTGTAAATTAGGATACATGCGAGACAACTTTTGGGGATCCAAATGCCATCTATAAAACATTTTATAAAAATTTTCTCTTAAATTTTGCGCTTGGGTAAATTTTACATTTCTAACCCAAATTGTCTCCCATATATCCAATAAAATCGGCTCTTGAATATTTTGAGCCCATTTAACCATACAATCTTTAACTAACTCCATTTCAGAATCCAATTCTATTAAAACATTATAAATTCTCTTTATATGGGCTCGAGTTTGATCTTTAATCTGTTTTACCAACCTTTTGATCTAAACTCCACCTCACTAATAATTGATTATACTGAAACCAAGAGTGTACAATATTTTCTTGCTTCAGCTCAGTTAAAGACTTTAGTTGCCAATCCTTCCCTACCAAACTAAGTAATTCCTTATAAGAAATCCTATCCAAATTCACTCCCCTAGATATTCCCTCTATTGCGTGTCCAGGAATCCCCCAAATTGGAATCTTATAATTTAACCTATAATAATACTTCTTCCAGACACGCAACAAAGCACGTCTCAAAATATGGGATTTAAAAACCTGATCCACTTTTTTGTCATAAATTAAATATGCATGCCATCCATATAATAAATCCCATCCCTCAAGAGAAAGGATATTTTTATTAAGTTGAGCCAATCACTAATCAGCGCTAAAACCACCGCATCATAATACAATTTTAAATTAGGCGCCTTAAGTCCTCCTCTTTTCCGTGCATCTTGTATAATCTTAAACTTAACTCTTGGTTTTTTCCCTGCCCAAATAAACTTATTAATCCCCTTCTGCCATTCCTCCAAATTAACGTCTTTTTTCAAAATAGGTATCATTTGAAACAAGAAAAGAAACTTTGGAAGAATATTCATTTTAACTGCTGAGATTCTCCCCAGCAAAGATAACTGTAATTTTTTCCAATCATTTAAATCCTTTTGCACTTTAACCCATAATGTCTCATAATTATTTTTATACAATTTAACATTAGAAACTGTAATATATACTCCTAAATATTTAACCTTTCTCACTATTTCAAAACCTGTTAATTTAGCCAAGATATCCTTTTCCTTCATAGACATATTTTTCGATAATATTTTAGTCTTACTATTATTTACCTTAAAACAGAGACCTTCCCATACTGAGTTAAAATTTCAACCAGATCCCTAACCGAATCTGTCGGTTGAGATAATGTCACAACCAAATCATCAGCAAAAGCTCTCTAAATCTGATGTTTTTTAATTTTTATTTGGTGTGCGTTGGAAGAGGGGTAGTCTTATACGGTGAGTATAGCCCAAACTCTATATTTTAACTGGAAAAGTTGGGGGTTGTCTTATACGCCCAGTCTTATATGCTGGAATGTACGGTAATAACAGTTCTCTCTCAAGACACAAAAGACTAGGAAGACTCAAATTACCCTAGTCTGGCCACATTGTGCAAATACATAATTTCTTTGGAAAACCCTCTGATGCTGAGAAAGATGGAAGGATAGAGAGGAAGAGATGATCAGCAGCAAGGTGGATGGACTCTGTTATAGTAGCAATGAGTTCACCAGGTTAGGGACAGATTGTTGTGAAGAAAATCTACCTAGTGGCCAGAGTCAGAAACAATTTGATGGCCCATAATCAATGTATTAAATTGTGTATTTACTAGGTTGTTATTAGAACATTTTTTATTTGTGTTAATGGACTAATTGGAAAGAAAGTTGGTCATTTAGGAATGTCCATTAAATCACATCATGGGGATTTATATAATTTACCCTAATTTATATCATTTCTATAATGACATAACAATACGAGTGACATAAACCATAGCATAAATTTAGTATGCTACGTGCAAGGTCAATTGCATTGACATCTGGAAAAAAAAAGGTTTCCCTGTATTATATTGCTGGTAGTGATTAGCAAATATTTCTTTGCAAAAACTGGATTTGCAAAAGGGGTTTTCAAATAAAATTGTGTATTATGCAGAAAAATATTACAAATTTCATGTCTCCAACTGAAGAAGAATGAACTGATAGCCAGGTCAATTTAACAATACAGATAATTCTTCGTTAATGACTGTTCAGTGACTTTGAAATTACGATGGTGCTAAACTACGAGAGTTATGGTGTGGGCCCTAAGTTATGGCCATTGCAGTGCCCCTGTAGACATGAGATAAAAAAGCAATACCCTTAATACTGTGGGGTGCTGCAATTATACCTCTTGTCTGTCTCCTGCCCAGTGCACTCAGCAGTGCAAGTCTGGACCTGAGGTAAAGTCCTGAAGCTTTAGCAGATTGTCTAAACTAGAACTGCCCCAGGCCTGGCTGCATTCTCCAAGTCATATGAGCCTTGGGGAATGGCACAATTGCTCTTGCCACTTAGTGCTCTAGATCTCTGCATTCTGCTTGCCTTTGGGCATTTTTTTTTCTGTTGAGAAACTTGTGCAGGCTACCCAAGGCACCTCCAGATCACACCAGGCCTTCTTTCCCAAAGCCTATTCATATGCAACTTTGGAAGCTTCCAGAAACCCTTTCCAACTTCAGAAGCCCTGAGCTAATAGGTTTCATTCTTTAGAGGTTTCCTAAAGCCACACATGACCTCGGATGACTTTGGGAACCCCATGCAAACATATTCCATTCTCATGAGACTTCTGGGCCTGGAGCAAGCCCGGGACTCCCTGGCTGCCCCAGATTTGCTTCCCACTGCAGCATCCCTCCAACTTGTATGCAACCTGTATCAGGCCACTCGGGGCTCTTCTACTGCCCTGAGGCATTCTCACATTTTTTTAAAACCTGGATTATATCTGCTTAATGATCTGCACAATCACTTTAATGACTGCAACTAGGACAATCAAGATTTTCATTGTCTCACTTAATGATCATTTTGCTCAATAACTGAGATTGTGATCCTAATTCAAGGCCTACTAGTATAGTTTCAGAAAGGTGTAAAAACATGGTTCTGCGGCCTTGCTTCAGGCTCACAGAAGAGTACAAAGCCATGCGCTGGTTGGTGCCCTGAAAGCCCTACCCCTGCCTTTTCAACAATTTTAATATTAATTTTAATTCATCCTTGTCCTTTAAATTATAAATTTCGTATACTGTTTTTATGTTTTAACGTTTTTTACTTGTACACCTCCCAGAGTCCCTCTGTGATGCAAATGTACAGTTTTAAAAATTTGATAAATAAAATAAATACTAGATTCTAATATATCTAATGAAATCAATTTGTACAGAAATTATTTTATGAGGAAACTTGATGCCTATATAAAACTAGTACCCTTGATTAGAAGATGCACAACCTGAATAGTCTCATACTGGATAATACTAGATTTTGTTAAAAAAAAAATCTCTTCTATAAAAGAAGACTAATTTAGAATTTGTGGTAAATGCTATATTCATTGAATATTTTATATTTGAACCACTTCCACAATCATTTATCTCAGTAGGCTCCTTTCAGAGGACTTACAAACTTCTGTGAAGCACTGTATGCCTTGGGCTTTGATCTTCAAGTGGTTCTTTTGTGTTAAATACCATAAAAAGCGACATCTTTGCTGCCTTATTATGTCCTCTAATTGAATTGTCCTCTTAATATGGTAGTAATTCTGAAGACAGTTCTTGATTTGAAAAGACCCAAATGCCATGCTAACTTGATCATCTCTGATCATTGGATTCTGGAAGACATACTAGACAACATTATTGTGTAATACTAGAATTCTAAGCAATGTTGGGCAGTTGAATCTGGGTTATAGTTAACTTGGTTCAATTAATTTTTTTTAAGGAAGTAAGATTTCTTGTTGCTCATTAATATTAAGATGGCTGCTTATTGTAGACGTAGGAAGAATGTTGTACACTAGTATACTCTAGAGTAAGCCTGCCCAGTAAAACGCTTTTTCGTTTTTGTTTGTCCTTGTTGAAAGTATCAGGTTGAAATATTTGTTCCTGTTAATAATTTTACAGAAATATTAAAAGCAAATATTTTATGATGTGTATTTTCCATTTATATAATATTATATGTATATTATATAATCTTGAGCAAAAATCAGTCAAAATGCATTTCTGTTTATATTACAACAAATATACATGCATTTTAATATACTTCTGTAAATAGAAACAATTTTTAAAATTGAAGTACTTTTTAAAATATGGAATAATTGAAACATAATGATAGTTTCTCTCTCATGTAGTTAATGTAAAGATATTTGGCAAGCGACACAATAAAAAAGTGCTGTTTTCATGGTTACAGATAAAGCCCTAAAAGAAATTGTTGAACGCATTCTTCAAACAAGTTATTTTGACAGTGCTCACAACCATCAAAATGGACTTTGTGAAGAAGAAGAGACAGCATCTGCACCCACAGTTGAAGATTCTGTGACAGAAGCTGGTAATTAAAAGAAATAACTGATTCTGATCCTAGTCATGTTAATTGAAGAATACCACTTTGCTCAATGGGAGTTATTTCTGAGTTAAAATGTATAGAAATACTCAAGATAGATTTGTAGAATTTTTGTAACCTTGTGTGTAGTTATTTGTTGAGTGTAGTTTACTTACTATACTATGTCACGTATAAGAGGCTATACTCCACTACACAGTTAGAAGTTGATTTTTAAATTGTTTTCACATTTATTTTCATACAAAATAAATTGGTCACATGTAGGTCACACTGGCCAGCCTTTAAAAACTAGGCTAGCAAGGCATCTATTAAATCAAACCACAGAAATCTGTAGTTTTTTTGAAGTCAGGAATTGTATCTTTTTTTTAAAAATGTGGTGTTAGCTTCTGGATTTACAAGAGTATATGTTTAGTGAAAAAGTCACAAGAAGAAACCAGAATTTTTAGACTTTGTTTATTCAAAGGCTTAATATATAAAATGGGAGCCGAATTTCTCAGTTATCCATTTTGCCCTTTCCTCCAAACAAGAAGAAGTATGTTTGAGAGATGTTAATGGGTGGAATGGATCCCTTAACTCAAGGCATTATTTTACTTAAAATTTCCACAACCCACAAAATGAGTTGAAATGTTTTGCCTGCTAGTTCCTAGGATACTCGGATGGGGTGGGGAATAGGGGCACAAGAGAAGATTTGTGAGTTACACAGTCATGTTCCAGCTACTTAATGTTTTCAGAAGGGCACAATATTTATTAAACATACAGTTCAAGAGAGCTATTAAATAATGAAATATCTCAGATTTTAAGACCTGTATTTTGTGGATTGAAATAATTAGTGGTTATAATTTTACTTCACAGCTAAAATATAGATGAATAAGAGTATTTTTACTATTTTTTATTTTATTTTAATTTATTTGATTGTTGGAGGTTTCCACAATTACTGAAAATCAGGCATAGAAGTTTAATAATTAAATATTATTAATATAAACATTCATTTTAATAAAGGCTTTATGTAAAGAGTGTATTTTCCTCACAGAGCCAGAACCAACAGAAGAATACACTGAACCAAGTGAAGTTGAATCAACAGAGGTACTCTTTAGTAGAAATACTGTAGTCACCTTTCTAGAATGAATGTTGTTGGTTTATTGTTGTATTCTTTCACTTTTATTTTAGTATGTAAACAGACAGTTCATGTCAGAGGCTCAGTTCAGCAATAATGAAAAGGAACAAGTAGATGAATGGACAGTTGAAACTGTTGAGGTAAATTGTTACATATCTTTTATGAAATTTCAGTAAGTTATAATTCCTTCATAACTTATAATTACAATTAAAATAGAATTATTAATCTTGAACCAGTTCTCAAAAAAACCCCTTTGACAGGAATGAATATTTTCTTCAAATATAGGAGTCCTCGGGTTACAACAACTTGCTCAGCGACTATTGAAAGTTGCAACATTGCTGAACAAGTGGTACTTATAATGGGTCCTTGAAGTTCTGGCTGGGTGCTTGGCAACTAACTCGCACTTGGAATAGTTGTCTTCCACTTACATGATCACAATTTTGTGACATTCTTTTGGGTCTTCCATCAAGCAAAGTCAATGGGGAAATGGCAAAGAAAGTTGCAAGTTGTTTTGATAAGTCTCTCAACCGTGCACCCTCCCCCCATCCTTCTGCACTTGTGCCATGCTGATCAACTGCACACCCTCAAGAGTTGTACTTGTACAGTGCCTACCCGCTATTCACACAGTCTCCGTGGCCACATGTGCGCCCCCTTGCTCCCCACTGGCGTTGGTTATTGAAAGCTGGTAGGAAGTTGCAAAGAGGTGCTTGCTTAATGATGGGGACTGAAAGGATTGCCAAGATTAAGTGATATGGTCATGTGACATTGTGTTTTATAACTGCATTGCTTAGTGACTAAAATTCCAGTCTTAATAGCTGTTGTAACTCGAGGACTACCTGTATTTATTATTTTATATACTGTATTAGTTTATCTAGAAATCCTTACAGATATAGTTTGACCCTTTATCAATATAAAACACAAATGGATCAGAATCAATGAAAATGCAAAATTTCAGCAGCTGTATGGTTGTGCATAGAGTATCGACAGTAATAGCAAGCACTGAATCATTGATATAAAGGATATTTGAGCACTAATATAAAATAAAAATAAGCAATCATACAGTTAGCATTTTCTTATAAATGCATACCAACTCTGTTGTTGGAATTGTGTAAGCTCATTAAGTTAAATATGTATTTTAGTTAGATTCTAAATTTAAGGATGTAGTCTTTTCCTCTTTATAAAGATGTATCTACAGGTTGTCCTCAATTTACACCATAGTTAGGACTGGAATTTGGAGCACTAAGTGGTGCAGTCATTAAGTGAGCCGTCGCATGACCGAACCTGATTTTGCTACCATTTTTACCATGGTCATTAAGTGAATCACATGGTTATTAAGAGAATCTGGCTTCCCAAATGGAATTAACTTGGCTGGCAATATCTCAAATCGCTATCATGTGTTGCAAGAGGCTGCAACAATAGTAAATATGAACTGGTTGCCAAGCACCCGAATTATGATCACATTACTGCAAGCGTGGTACAACGTTTATAACTTTGAGGACGGGTTGTAAGTCACTATTTCTCTATTTCCAAGGCCATTGTAACTTTGAACTGTTGTTAAATGAATGGTCGTAAGTCGAGGACTATCTGTATAAAATAACTTTTGATTACTGTCATATTATTATTAAAATCCTAAGCATGCTATTATTTACAGAGATCTACTTTCTTCTTCAGTTTCTAAGTAAGCTAATAGCATATAGTGCTAGCTTCATTCAAATCATCCTTCCCATTTTTGTACTTTTTAAAGGAAATAATGACCCAGATCTTAACTATTTAAAACTGCAAAACATTTATCTTTATATTCTTCCTCCTGGAGTACAAATATACTATTGCCACAAGGTTGCTAGTAGATAATATTGTCAATTTGCCATTTAAATGTAGACTGACTGAAATTGTATTGATTATTTTTAATGTAGGTGGTAAATTCACTCCAGCAGCAAGCACAGGCTACATCTCCCCCACTTCCAGATGCACACACACTTACAGCTGTTGCTCAAGCAGATCCACTTATTAGAAGACAACGAGTGCAGGACCTTATGGCGCAAATGCAAGGCCCATATAACTTCATGCAGGTAATTAATAATTTAATTAATACAAAATTACAGTATTTTTAAATATGTGTAGAATCCTGTTGAAGTGGGGAACTGTTTTCTTCAATTGAACTGAAACAGAATGGCATTGACTGATTTGCATTGATTTTGTCTGTGGTGAAGCTGTCTTAAATCTAGTCTTAATAATGTAAGAATTTATGTCTAGTGAAGCCGGCTTAAATTTTGACTTAATTATCTAGGACTCTATGCTGGAATTTGAGAACCAAGCACTTGACCCTGCTATTGTTTCAGCTCAGCCTATGAATCCACAAACTTTGCAGATACCACAGATGGTTTGCCCTCCAGGTCTGTAATATAATATTGTTTGTATGTGAACTATGTAGCAAAATAGCAATGAAACTCAAGCAATTAAGTATTTTTACATTTCACTCCATTTTATATTCCATCTTTCCATTTGTAGAATGTTCAACTGTACAAGGAAAAAGTGATGCTTAATAAAAATATTTGCAGGTTATTATAATATTGAAACGTCTGGCTGAAAAGACACATTTTAAGTATACTTTTTAAAGTGGAAAGAACGGGACTTAACACACATCCTAAGGAAATAAGTCCCTTTGAAATGTTTATCCAAGTCAGTCTATCTTTGAAATTGGGGGAATCCGCAAAAGAAATTTCTCCTGCAGGTTTTAATATGTGGATAGGTTTATAATGGAAGAGGCAGTCCTTTGTTTACAACTTTAGAGGTTACAGTGACTGCTTATAAGCAATAGAAAATAGTTCTCTCAGTACCGAATTACATATTTCAGTTTGTATGATTAGAAACTTACCCGATCCATTTTGAACCAGCTGATATTTCTGGATATTTTTAAGCATAGTCCCATGGAGAAATTATAGTAATCAACTGCAACATAATGAGGCATTGTGCTTAAAGAAACGTCCACTGTATTAATTTCTGTATTGATTGTATTATTCTGTTTCTAGTTCATGCTGAATCTAGACTTACACAAACAACCCAGGTTCCTATACAACCTGAAGCCACACAGGTAAGAACCCTTGATAACTAATGGCTAAATATTTCTTTCTAAAACTTCCTCTTCCCCTTATTTAGGAATTGTTGAATAGGTTCTACAATACTTTCTTCATTAGCATGTAATTAGAAGTGGATGAACTTTTCATATTGTACTTCTAGATTACCAAAACTGAGGCAATCTGTTTTCCTTTAAAAATCCGAGCTTGTATCTTTCACACTATTTTGACCTATCATCCGGAACTATTGAAGGTGTGCTTTAGAAAGGAAATATAGGAAAAAAAAGTTTCCCCAGGCCCATGTAAAAGCCCTGCTCTGGTTATAGGAGAATCCACAAGCAATTAAAAATATTTATAAAACTTTTTCAAAACATTTGAACCTCATCATACTCAAAATAAGATACAGCTAGTAACTTAGCATACTGCTTAGTTTAGCATTAACTCCAATGGGGAAGTTACATAGAAAAAAATCTGTCAATGCCTCTATGGCGTTTACATTTATGTGATGTCTCCCATATAGAGACATCATAATGAGAAGGCAGCAAAAGTCTCTTAAAACTAGGGTTATACAAAACGTTGGGTGGTCAGTTAGTTTCAGGTGGTCTGTGCTTGGATTGAAATATGTTTCATCTCGGTACGTATTCCAAAAACATAGAAGTAGAGGTGTTTAGAATGAGAGACATAGGGAAAATGATCAAGTGATGTGTAAAAATAGCTAAACAGAGGAGAAAAAAAGTTAAGGTTAGGTGCTAGGAAAGTTAGATGGGCTGGTTTTTTCTAACACATTTTCAAACATGGCAGACACAATTTTTTTCATGCATGAAACAAAATATATTTCATGTACTCATAAGTATAATCAAAGTATATTTCATCTACTCAAAATTCTGAAGTAACAATCACCCTTGGAAATTAATTGTGGAAGTTGGCTTTATTTTAGTATTGGAATTAGCATGTTATTGTGACTTTTGTTTGTAATATTCTTTCCAAATTAGAACCATCCCAGTAAAGTATTTGGGGGTTAATTGAATCATCACCATTAATTAATTTCACATAGAGTCTTTCAAAATGCTGTTTTCTTGCCCAACCGTTTCTAGATAGTTGCTTACAACCAGTGAGCATTGTCTGTAGAATGTATAATTTTTGTCCATTCATATGTCACCATCAGCTCCATCGGTTTTTATTGAGTCTAAATATGTTAGGTTAGTTTAAATACCAATTAATTACTGTAGTTTTAAAAAATTTCTTTCTAGGGCCAGTAAGTGGTTCATTGGACTCCTTAAATAAATTTCTATTAAAATTAAGGATTAGGATTAAAGATGAAGCCATGATTAAAACCACAAATGAAAATCTGAATAGAGTAAGCATTTCTTGTAACTAAAAATCATGCTAATTTTTACTAGCAGTTTCAGTATGGCATGATCACAAATGGAGAGACTTTTGGAAAAATAATAAAAGACTTTAAATCTGTAATGCTTATAGAAATATGCAGAATTCAAAAAATCTGATTGTAATCCTCTTCAAATGCATGAATTATATTACTTAATTCTGATAAATGACAGTTTTAAGAACACACATTACTTGGAAACAAACTGTTTAAGTAACAGTTTAAGAAACATTTTATAATGGATATTAACACTTCCTTATTTCTAGCACATTTAAACAAAGCTATTGATAATTTGAATTTGTGCCAGCTCTTATGTTTCTATGTGACTGACCATTTGAAATGTAATTGTATGCATAGAATGCCACATAGTAGGGCAAGCCAATTTTAATGGTATATTCAGGGTGGCTGCTGAATAATTTATTCCGGTTTTTAATTTATTCTTGGTTCTGTGATGAATATCTTCATCACTTTAGAGGTAGTTTTTTCTGTCCCTTAAAAAATCATAGAGGAGTGTTTTTGAACACTTTCTTGTATAAGTAGTCCTCTATTTATGACCATAATTTGGAGTGGAATTTCATTTGTTAAGCAATGTGGTCCTTAATGGAATCATTAATGACCAGACCCAATTTTATACTATTTTTATATCATAATTGTAAAGTGAATCCAGCTTCCCCAATTAATGTTGCTTGTTGGGAAGGTTGAAAATTACGATCATAGGATGCTACAGCTGGTCATAAATATGAACTGGCTGCCAAGCAACCTAATTGCAATCATGTGATCGCCAGGGTGGTAATGTGAGTAGCAGGCCGTAAGTCATTTTTTCTGAGGCCATTGTAAGTTTGAATTCATTTCATTTAATTCAGTTCAAATTTGAATCCAATGAACAGTTGTAAGTTGAGGACTACCTGTAGCATTCATTCCAGTTATTTTTGAGATTGCATATAATGAATTCTCTTCTATTTTACTGTTCATTTTTTATTTATGTCCTAATTTTCTGTTCAGTTGAATACTTAGTTAAAATACAGTACAAATAGGAAATAAGTATAGGAAATATAGATTTAAAATCAATGTTAAAATCATTGAGTATTAATAATTAAAGCAGGTTTGGTACTAGCTGATGCTTCTGATTACTTTTCAAGAGTAATGGTAAGCTATATTAGTCATGTCAAGAAAGGTGGCAAGGAGAAGTGGAATTGGGAGTCGCTAGAATATTATTGGTGCTTTATTCTGCAGCTATGGATAATTTTCCCTGCAGTTTAATAAATACAGAAGAGCATAGGCAACAACATGGAGCCCTATGGAATACCATTGGCCAGTAATCTAGATGGTAGTAATCAGTAGTCTCATAGTACTGCCTTCTGTGCACAGTCCAGAGAAGTACACTGAGACCATTGCAAGGCCCATTCTCATCAGATTTGTTCAGAATGATGCCACTTTGAATAGTGTCAAAGCTTCCCACAATTCCAGGACAACTATTTACATTTGCATCATTTAGTTTCCAGCAAAGGTTGTTCATTAGTCTTCTAATGTATAGACCTGTTCTATAGAGTCTATAATTCTATAGATTAGACAAGTTCTTAATTTGATGATGTCAGAAGCCTTTCCCTTCCTAGCACATGAAAAGAACTAAACAAACAAATAAATAAAAACAAATATAAGTAGTCCTTGATGTAATACTACAATAGGGACTTGAAAATTAATAATTAAGCAGTGTGGTTATTGTGATGTCTTGTGACTGCACCCAGTTTGATGAACTTTTCTCCCACAGTCAATAAATCAATCACCATGGTTGTTCAGTGAGACATGACCACGACTTGTGACCTTCTCTGCTGGCTTCCCCATTGACTTGGCTTGTTGGAAGTTGGCTGAGAATGTCACAAATTGTGATTGCGTGACAGTGGGACACTGACTGTTGTAAATACACAATAGTTGCCAAGTGCTGGAGTCACAGTCACATGACTGCAGGGAGACTGCAATGGCCATGAGTCGTTTTTTTCCTAAACGAATGCTCATAAGTAGGAATGTCATTAGCAAATGGCTTTGATAGGCGCCTACACTTACAGATTTAATTATCTCTCAAAATTTGCTCACGGCTTTCCTCCTGCTTTGCAAATCAATGCAGGCTTACCCAGGCAAAATGCGGATGAGATTAATGTGCTCCTACTTTGCTGGTGCAAGGTTTGCCCATGCAGAACAACAGCAAATTTGACAGCATTCCTGCCTTGCAAACAACAGACTTAATCAACTTTAAGAAATTTTTCAACCCCTCCCATTTACGTTGCTTATGACCCGCTTGGGATTCATGACCCAGTGTGAGAAATTCTGGATTAGGCAGCAATTAGAAAATTTGTGTAAGTAATCTTTGAAAAAAAAAGATAACATTTCTTTATCTTCGGTAATAGGCACACTTACTTATTACATCAGTCATTGTTACTTAATTTGCCTTGGTTCAGAGACTGGGCTTTATACTAAACTTGTGTAAAGATCTATGAACTGAATCTCCTATCCAAATTACTCCTTTTGAAGAAGTAGAAAGGATCACTGGAAAATTTGGTACAGCTAGTATAATTACTAGGCATTCTTAAAAGATTATGAAAAAAAAACTATATGGTCATAATAATCCTTAGTATATCCATCTCACAGAGCACTACTGTAATATAAAAAGAAATTCTATGAAAGCCTGCTAATACTAGAATTTGCAGAAGTTTTTTTTAAATATTTTGGCCTATCTAGAAACTCGGGGAAAATGTCAGAAAAGAACTTGATGAACTAGAAGAAATGAAAGCCTTTAGAAAAGAGTTTCTAAATGTGAATAAATATCCAGAAGAATGCTGCTAACATAGAGAGCTGTAAAACTCATGAAAGTCAAACGAAGGATTTGCCGAGGGGCCCTAGATGGAGTTTCTGTTAAATTTTAAAACTTTGACAGGTCCCCTTGGTTTCTTCCACAAGTGAGGGATATACAGCATCCCAGACCACGTATCAGCCTTCTCATTCAACAGAACAGCGACCTCAGAAAGAATCAGTTGACCAGATTCAGGCAAGTTATGAGACTTCATTATGCTTGGGAAGGGAAAGAGTTTTGCATATATAGATGAGTGCCCCTCTTAAAAAGTCTTGGAAGCCATTTATTTTAGGTATCAGGGTGGGGGGAGGTTGATAATTTTTTAACTTGAATGTCTTTTTAAGTTTGTTTGTTCCGATCCTGAACATTTTAGAAGCAATTTTTTAAAATTTAAATTTGGGTAGACTGTTCATCTAATCAAAAGGTGATCAGATATAATTGATATTTGATTGACAAGGAAATGCCTTGGTAGGTTCACTGTACCTGCACAGGAAATTACTTTCTGTAATCTTTTCACGTTCAAAGTTAATTCAGAGTAGAACACTAGGATCTTTCTATTCTTAATAAAGTGAGGATACTATGTAAGAGGGATTTTATATTTTTATTAGGCACACTTCATCAGCAACAACCTATTTCATAATTTAAAATGGTATTGATGTCTTGCTTGCTAATGTTAAGTTGAATTTTATTTGTCAGGCTTCAATAACCTTAAGTACAGATCAGACACCAACATCATCGCCACTTCCAGCTGCATCCCAGCCTCAGGTATTTCAGGCTGCCTCTAGCAAACCCTTGCATAGCAGCGGAATCAATGTTAATGCAGCTCCATTCCAGTCCATGCAAACGGTAAGCATTAAATATATTAAAAATGTAGATAAAAATTTTGGATGTCAGTATCATGATAATGGTCAATTTTTCTCTAAATACCATTAGTAGTTTATTTTATTTTATTTTATTTGTGTCCCACTTTTGTTGTTTTATAAATGACTCAAGATGATGAACATATCCAACACACCTTCCTCCTGTTTTCCCCACAACAACAATCCTGTGAGGTGAGTTGGGCTGAGACAGAGTGACAGCCCAAGGTCACCCAGCTGGCTTTCATGCCTAAGGCGGGACTAGAATTCATATCTGGTGCCTTTCTAGCCCGGTATCTTAACCACTAGACTAAACTATGTTTTTGAAATGTTTATGGAATATTCCTTGAATCTTTAGTTTAAAAATTGAACTGATTTTTACTTACTTTCCATCTAGGTATTTAATATGAATGCACCTGTCCCTCCTGTCAATGAGCCAGAAACTCTAAAGCAACAAAATCAGTACCAGACCGGTTACAGCCCAACATTCTCCAATCAGCCCCATCAAGTAGAACAATCAGAACTTCAGCAAGAACAGCAGCTTCAGACAGGTAAAACTGTGAAAAACTGAATACTTTACTTTCAAAAATGTTTTAAAGAGAAATAGCCTAAATAATTCTTTACTGATGGAGTTTATATAACATATTGTGTGTATTGTGAAAAAAGCAGTTCTACAATATTTGTATGGTTTTACAAAGGGGGAAATACTGTGGGATAAATATCAATGTTGATGCTTTTATACACCAAATTGAACAAAACCCATATCCTAGCTGGTAAAAGGGACCTCCTCCCCCCAGAAAACTTTAGGAAACTAAATTGATGAAGTTATAGAGTGAATTCTTTAAATCATGTGAAATGTAGGGACTATTCTACATGTTTAGGGAATTCAGACTGCCATGTTGGATTTAATTCTGCAAACAATCTTTCTTTAGATAGGTAAACATTTACTGTCCTACTTGGTGGCTCTTAAGCAGAGTACATTGGTGAGTTAGCTTGATATTATTTGAGTCTTTAGGAAACTGGAGTATACATTCAAACTTCTTGTACTGTCTTGGTTTTTTTCATTTTAGTGGTTGGCACTTACCATGGTTCCCCGGACCAGTCGCATCAAGTGGCAGGTAACCACCAGCAGCCTCCACAACAGAATACTGGGTTCCCACGTAACGGTCAGCCTTATTATAACAGCCGGGGAGTGTCTCGTGGTGGATCACGTGGCACTCGAGGCTTAATGAATGGATACAGGGGACCAGCCAATGGGTTTAGAGGTAAAAACTTAAAAACCTTTTAAGATTAATTCTGAATGTTTTTCAGAAATGCAGAATATCAAAAAGCTTAAGCATTAGCATAGCATGCTTTAATTTTTTAATAACAAAAAAGTGCAGCATTACATAAACTTTGTAGTAGTTGCTCTAGTGTAATATTAGTGAATAAAGAACAAAGCAGATAACACAAGGACAAAGTATGAGAAGGAACTAATTAGAAGTGATTTGATAAAAGTTTAGTATAATGTATATGAAACTGAAACGTGACTTTCCATCTGTAACCTGCTAAATGGCTGCATCTTTTTCAGGGCTTATTCCTTGGCTTACAAAAGCAAGTCTTTCACTTATACAAACTATGGCTCTTGATGGTATTCTTTATTTTGGTGCCTGAATTTATTAATGCACTTAAAATAATTTATAATAAATCTTGCATATAATAGGAAATCTTGAAGACACTGAATGGTGCACAGGAGCCCAGGTGCAGTTTAAACACTTATCTGGTAATTTTATGTTAAAAGGTTAAGTATGGTATAGATAGAAGAAGAATTTATTTTCAACCTAATATTGAATTGTGACGTTCTAGTGTGTTCTGTTTGTAAGGAAATTTTCCATGATCATATTTGTATAATTTACAAGCAGGAATCAACATACTCATTCCTCCTTCCTTGTAGTGTTTTCTCAGAGGGTTCAATAAAATAAGGATTGTTCTTTGCGCACAGGATGCTGTTTCTGGATATATCATAAATATATTCATCTATATTACATTAGATAATCCTATCTAGTAATCGTCTTACCTGATTTTTAGGAGGATATGATGGCTACCGTCCTTCATTTACTAACACTCCAAATAGTGGTTACACCCAGGCACAGTTTAATGCTCCAAGAGACTATCCCAATTACCAGCGGGTAAGTGTACTTTATAAATGATCTTTTGAATGTAGACTATATAGGAGATAAAATGTGTTTTATAACTACTTGTGAAGATATATTGGATCTAAAATTAATTCAGTAAAAATTAATTTTGGATCACATTTTAACTTTTAAAGTTGAAAGTACTCTGGGATTCTTAGGTTTACTCTGTTTTGAACAAGGTAAACCTCATTTCATCCCTGATCTACACATATTCTCCTTTATTTTTCCCTGTAAAAAAGACTTTCATAGCCAACTGCTTATTCAAAAAACAAAATCATCCAAAATAAATGAATTCTTGGCTGGCTTTTTAAATATATGGAAATATCAGAGTATGTAAATATGCATTTTAATCTCCCTCATTCCCAATTGCTTGACAAATATCTTTTGAGTATACAGAATGTTAATGGCAATTAGCAAAGATAAAAGGGTCATGAAATGAAATTCAATAGTCACGAAGCCTTTCTAGGTCTTCGAAATTTTTTGTTGTTGTTTTATTTTTGCCCTTGCTTAAACAATTCCTTCTAAAACACTGGAATATTGAATTTTAGTTTTTTCACTACTGACTGGTCTTTTTATTTCAGGATGGATATCAACAGAATTTCAAACGTGGCTCTGGACAAAGTGGCCCTCGGGGAGCCCCTCGAGGTAATGTGAATAATTGAATTGTGATTTGAATATTTATAGAGATTCTGGAGTTGAATATTTTCAGGTATTTCAATTCAGTTTCTTTAATAGTTGCAGTTTATAATTATGGTTGTTAATTTATTTTTCCAACTGTATATTCCCTTTCATGCTATTATTTGATCAGAATTGTTGTTTCACAGTTGCCATTAGTGTGGAAATCAGTAAATTTTTTGTTAGGTGGCTGACTATTCTGGAAAAAAAAAGTTTCAATCCTCTCTCTGGGCAATAATTTGCATTTTGTTGCTGGACCACACAGAACCTCAAGCAAGCCGATTAGAATTGTATACCATGTTATTGACTGTAATATTTTATCATTCCATTCAAATATTATCTGAAAAGAAGTTTCGGGTAGGATAGTATCTATGGAGTAAGGAACTTGTAGGACATGTTTAAGGTTTTGGTATGAAATCATGCATTATTTCTGCACATTCAGGGGCATTGCTTCTGTACATCTGAAGTCTATTTCTTTGTTGAGAAGGCAAGTAGTGGCTAATATTTTCAAGCATTAAATAAACGTAAGAGTTTATGTAGAAATAAATGTTCTTCCTGAAATCAAGTCTCAGTCCCAAAATAAATTATTATTTTTATTTTCTAGGTCGTGGAGGGCCCCCAAGACCCAACAGGGGAATGCCTCAAATGAATGCTCAGCAAGTGAATTAATCTAATACTCAAGATTACTTTTAAAACGCCAAAAACACTGGCCAGTGTACTATATACATGTTACCAGAAGAGTTATCTCTGTTTTCCTTTATAGGAAGTTCATAGTAAAGGGATTATTTTCATTGCCCATAAAGACAAGACTACAGTTTTCAGCTTTATATTACCCGGATATGGAAAGAAATGCCGTTTGCGCTGCATGTTCTGTCCTAATCGTCACCTTGAGCCTTGCACATGAGATCCAGACCCTTGCTTTGATTTAAAACAAAAATGGCAGTTTCAGAGTAAAGAAAATGTCTATAGTTAATTGAACAGGCAGAAATAATCCAACTGACTTCATTGATGTCATATAGTTCTGCAGCAAATTTGGATAAGAATCTGTAAACCCATAAACGTTTTACTCAGACAGTTGATATATTTAAACTTTTACATTAAAAAAGATGGAGGAAGTGAAGTGTGGCTTAATAGAACAACTACATTTCAGCTTTTTCTGTTTCATTGAAGCGCCTGAATATTTACATGCATAATAAAGAGCCCTGACTAGATATTAAACTGGTGAACAGCTTAGGCACACCCTTAGCTACAGCACTTTTTTATTAGTCTGACTGGCTGTGGTAAAGGGATGCATTAATTGTTTTGTGTATCTGTTATAATTGTGTAAACCCCAAATTAAGCTTTGATTGGCACTTTAAAATTTTGTGTAAGAAATAGAAGATATAATCTGGACAGCCACTTGTGTTTTCAAATGTGAAGTATTGAAAGAGATCTCTCCTGAACACATTTCCTGGATAGCAATGCTGTTTGTAAGGATTGGTATTCCTTATCATTCCTTATGATTTGCACATTGTCTGTCATTAATACTTAATCTTGCTGTATTACCACCTTAATAACTGATGCTGGTACTGATGGAAATTAATGGGTATGCATACTACATGTCACATGTCTTTTTCCCCCTGCAGCTTAAAGGTTTGAGAAATCTCAAATCCTTGCTGGTGCCCTTTAAATTGCTCTCTTTTGAAAAGCACCAGTAAATGTTTTGATCCATTTCCCCTTTTAAGGGAAATTACAGCCAGCAGTTCCAAGTGAGATAAATAAACATGTTTATATTAAAAAAAAAACCTGTATTCCTTAACATATCTTCAATGACTGATGAAAGCTCCACAGGCACATTCTTTGAACAGTTTTTTTTTCATTCTCAACACTTAAAGATGATCCAGAAGTTTGTAAGATATTTATCCAGTAAGGACATGCATTTATCTGACTTGTTACAATCATCAGGCTCAATGTTGTCAATTTATCTATATGGGTGTTGTAAAACTTTTGAACCAGCAGTAAGAATTGCATGCATAGTACTTAATGAATCCTACACAAGAATTCATGAATTAGTTCAGAGCGTAGTTACAAGAGTCTGCTTCTGTGAACAGAGCCAACCTGTATAAAAGTACAGGTTAATTAATCACATTGGGATTATAGAATTACTGGGTTTTTTTTAGGTTAGCAAATACTGTTCTTTGTGTTTAGTTGACAACTTTTCCTGATACTATATATGGTAACAAAAATATAGACTCCTCAGTTACGATAATTATGTTAATTCTTTGAGAATATTCTATATTATTAGTATTTGTAGGTACTATTAATGAGAAAAATATTAATGGAAAATAATTTCAAATATAGTATCAGAAACCAAAGGTATTTGGAAACCAAACAAGCAGATCATGTATTTTATGTGATGCATTTTTTTTTTTAAAAAAATCAAGATTACCCAATGTGATTTAAACAAGCTGCTGTGCATACAAATTTGTCAATAACTATAAGCAACTCTCTTGCTAGCTTTAGATTGGGAAATGAGGCATATAACAAAATTAATTTTATTCTTGGAACATTACTTCCAAGGCAGATTTAAAGCCAGAAATATCCTTCCTTAAACTAAAACAAAAAGTATGTAGAATTGCAGGATCCTTTAATGGCACAGAACTTGATATCAGAATCAAGTAATTCATAAACAGAATTGAGATGACTTTTTAAAGGATTAGTTTATCTGTTGACTTTCATGACAAGTTGGCAATATTGAATATAGTATTTGAATTTAAACAAACTAAATATAATTTTTAAAAAACTAGAATTAATTCCCTTAAATATTAGAAGATACATTGTGTTCTCCAGATTTACTCAGCACAGTCAATACGTTATGAGCACGAGTCCTGCGTGGTTCTGTTCTCAGTCTAGCTGTAGTCTACTTTATGTTCCTCGGTTATTAGGTAATAAAATATAGAAATAGTCATTCCATTGTTACAACTTGGAGAAAATCCAAATATTAAATAAAACTGCCCTGTTTCTGGTGGAAAAGCTATAAGTCAGTGTTTCTCAACCTTGACAATTTTAAGGCATGTGGACTTCATCACAGCATTGCTGGCTGTGGAATTCTGGGAGTTGAAGTCCATATGCCTTAAAATTGTCAAGGTTGAAGAACACTGCTTTAGGTCCAAGCCATTTATGGGCAGCTCAGAAGATTTGCCAAGGATAGACTTCATGATCTTTATCTCCTGTTTTCATCGTGACAAAGAAAGAAGCCTTATTTTGTGTTAGTTATTTATCTTCATCCAGGAATTTGCAGAGTTCCATCTTCGCTTGTAACAATCTGAATCTTTTTTTTGGGGGGGGGGGAAACCTCTCATTCATGGAAAATGCCTAGATCAGTCCCTGCAGCTTTCTTGGTAAGGTTTTTCAGAAATGGTTTGTCATTACTTTCTTCTTAGGGCTGAGAAAAAGTAATTGGCCCAAGGCACCCTGCTGGCTATGTGCCCAAAGCAGGAGAGAAACTCACCTCCCAGTTTTTAGCCTGATGCCTTAACCACTACATCAAACTGGCTCTCAAAATCTGTATTACAAGGAAGCAAATAGTGCAGTTTCTGGTCTTACATTGTACAGCAAGGGGATTATGGGGGGCTTATGTTTGTAAGTGTGTGACTAGTGTGTATTGCTCATTCACCTACCTGCCATTGCTTGTCTCTCCTATAGTGGAGGGGAGGTAGTGGTGAGGAGAAAGAAGTAGCAAGAAAAGGACTGCCTCTCCACTGTGCTTCTACACTGTGCCTCTCCACTGTACTGCTACTCTTCCCTTTTCTTTAGCTTTCTTACCAGTAGTGCTACCTTCACCGTCATCTACCATCTATCTATTTTTTTTTTCCATTTTCATTGGGTGTCCTGATGCTGCCACTGGATTCTCCAATTATAATTTACATGTTAGTAAACTGGTATGAGGGGAAAAAAACCCTGAATGTATGTTTTGAATGTAGCTAAGCTGCTTCAACAATTTTTTCCAACCTGGTCTCAAGTGGAAATGAAAGATGTAGGACATTACAAGATGTTGCTTCAAATCGATTTTGGCTGACCAGTTGGAAACGTTGCCATTGGGCTAAGTTCTAATTTCCTTCTACACTAATGATAAGATTCATATAAATTGGAAGTTGCCTGTTTGTACAAAATTTCACAAGAGATCAACAGAGGCTAAATTCATTTGTAAATTTGAAGTCTCATCTAGTAATGCATGTAACTTAACCAGATGGCAATCAGTGGAGGAAAACCTATCGGAACATAATTTTTTAATTGGGTAGCTAAAAAAAAAAAGTGTTTTTGTATTACTTTTTCACTACTTTATATAATAATTCAAATCTCTGTGTTCAGTATTATCAGTTTATTATCCTTTAAGTCTTTTTCATAAGTAAGCCAAACAGCACATTTTGAAATTGTGGGCTTTTACTGTATCTGAATAGTGTTAAGTCAAGCATACCATTATAGACATTGAAGCTAATGTATTTGAATGTTAGAGGTTGTTAGAAAAATGAATTTAAAACATGTTAAATCTTCAATATATACATCAAGTACAAATAGGACAAATTTGGCTTGATGTGAAATTACATCAAATATATGAGTTTTTTCACTTCAAACTGTAAGATGTTTGAGTTGATACCCAATGGGTTGCATCTGAGTGTGCATTTTAAAAAATAGTGCTGATATTGTTCTACTGAAGTATTAATGGTGGCAAATAGCCTTCAGACACACTGATAACTGACAGCTGAATTTTTATAAAACTGCTTCCAATAATTCAATTGTTGGTTCACATTTGTTTTTCTTATATAATTTATAGTTATACATAAATAACTATTTTCCTTGTTCTAAATCAGGGGTGTCAAACTGCCGGCCCTCAGGTCGGATGTGTCATGCCAAAACCGCAGCCACCCCAGCTCCGGCAATGGGGAAAAATTCACGATACAGCATGACACGTCATGTGACGTTGCGAGTTTGACACCCCTGTTCTAAACATTGCTTTTTCAGTTTTCACATAACATACCTGGTTTAGAACTGTTAAACTCGTGTATTAACTACATTTAGAATATGAAAGGCTTTTTAATTATGTGAGAATATAGTGTTCAAAACCAAATTCATAATACAGACCTATGCAAATATTGTGAGTTTTAAAACTTACAAATTTGAAATTCGTGATTGAGGTAGATATTACAATCCAAAACTGGAATTAGTGCCTATATAGTTCCTTTGATTGCAGATCTAAATGGAAAACAATTGCCTTTTATTATTCCAGTGAAATATGACATTTTTTATTATTTTTTATTGCAAAATGTGATTTTTTTTTCCAAATTTGAGTAACATTAAGATCATTATGTTTTATTTTTATATGGACACCACTAGCACTGGTAATTTTACATTAGGATGTTGTCCAAATACATTCTGCTTAGCATGTGTAATTTAACGTCCAAAGTAACAGAATGAATTGTGGCTGGCTTTAAATATGGTATAAAAATTTATATGTATAAAATCAAACATGCAGATTTCTACCTGCTTAACATAGTTAAACTGGGTTGCAATTATGTGTACATTTTAACTGCAGAAATCTGGACTGTGAGTATGCTTTTAAACAACAAATGTAAAATGGGCATCTTTCAAAAATGATGCTGAGATAAAATTGCACAACGTGAAGATTTTAAACTGCATCTGAAAAGGAATGGTTTTAACTATCTTTATAATTGTTTTAAGAGATTTTTATCAAGCAATAGCTACTATCTTGAATATTACAAAATGCAGTTAATGCAGTGAACTCAGAAATTGAAGGACATTTAGCCTAAATGGACCACAATAATTTTGCAGGTGAAAGAGATTGATAAAGGGTGTGAATTAAATGCTTCTCTTACAGTTTTGGATCAGCATCAGATTTTCTCCAGATGGCTTAAAAGTAGATATACATTTTTTTATTGTTTCAGGGTATTTCTATCTGAAGAGAGAAGCCATGTTGTCTCCTGAGAAGTGGTCAATTTACACCTTACATGAGGAAGACGCTTTGGATTCACTGTGTTCAAATACGTTAACACTTATAGCAATGCCTTAATTAGTATCTTAGAGTAAAATTTACTCTCATATCGAGATAATCTGACTTTTGGAAAAATCAGGCCATTATTGCTAAATTTTGGCAAAATACTGGAAACTCAATATGATTTGTTTGCTCATTTATGGATTGATCTCTCTGCCTCCTCAAATCTGAGAATCTTATCCACGTATCACGTATTACACACTTGTAACATTGATAATTACTGTGTTTCTTAATGTGTTTTGATGTTAATTGTTGGCCTTGAAATGACAGATGACCCACATAATAAACAGTTACTGTAAAAGTTGCAGCATCAACTGACAATGCCAGCTCCATCACTTAACTGTTTCAATGCATAACGCAACATGCAGCTTTCAGATCATGTATTTATTTCTGGTTGTCGTAAAGATCTGATTATGATAAATTTTACAAGACATCTCACTTCTCATTAAGTCGGAAATCTTAAGTGGATTAAAAAAAATTCAAATACAACCAGCATGTATTTTATAATCCATACCAAAATGATATAAGCTAAGAACTTCATATAAAACAAAATTATATTAATTTATTGTTCACAGTCCAAAGTATATAGAGCAACTAAGATATCTGATTGGTAGTTTTTTTCAAATATAGATAGAAATTCTACCTACCTTGCTGACATGTCTCCCAGTGAAAAGCCAAAGAAGGTATTGCAGGCCCGCATGATGGGATAAGGTATAAGGAGGCATTTGTATGGGG